GAATTTCGGGACAATGACGGACGGACTGTTAAAACAGACAATGAGAAGATGGAACAAGAAGGGGACTCATTAGAGGCCGCTGTGTCGCAGTGCAGTGGTGTTCAAGGACAGTTTGCGGCACTGGGTGTGGTGGCTCAGGTGGGGTTGAGATGTGAACCTTGGGAGTTCTTGGCGCGCACAAGGCAACGCCATCCAAAATTGCACACACCAGCAGGACAGTGAGACCATACCGAAAGCGGACTGGGCTCAATATCGCGCCAATGGAACACAACAAAGACCCGCTTTTCCGCATGCTGGTGTCTCGCCACCCCATTCTGCGAGCGGAGATGGAGCGAGGTCACAAGAGGGTCAGAGGAGGGGTGGCCTGTGCGGTTTTCATCAGCCATTTCGTCCATTTGTGCCATTCAGCGGCCATTCAGCGCATTCACCCCATTCCCATTCGTCGACCCGGCGGTGCCTTCTGGCGAGGGGGAGGCCAATTGCCTGTCGCCCAGACTTGTTCCATCCAATGCCCGAAGACCCCAGTGCGCTACGTAGTAGCGCCCCAGTCCGGCCCAGTGTGCCCCCCCTCCCCCCCATTGGCGACCCCGTTGACAATCCCCATCCGTCCGGCCAGTCACAGCTGGCAGCGGCAGCCAGAGTGGGCCGGTTACGGTGGGACAAAGTGGGCGAATTGGACGGTTTGGGGGCTCTGGGAGGACCCACTCGCACAGCGCTGTCCAACGCAAGTCGCCTGCTCCGATTGCTCTTCTTCCACTTCGTCCCTCCTCCCTTCGCCTCTTCCCTACTTCTTCACCCGCCTCGTCCCCGTCAAACCACTTCCAACCCTCACCCTCGATCTTCTGCACATTTGCAAGCGACTTTTACCTAACGACCACACAAAACGACTTCTTGCACCTTCTTCGACTTTGCCGACTATTTGCCTGCGCCCACCACATCCAGTTACCAACATTCCCTCGACAGTTTGATTGCTCCACTGCAACGGCCTTGGTTTCGGTTCCATTGTTGTTGTTGTCTCACAATAGCTGGGTTTAATACCGCACAACTCCCGGCTTGGCCAAATAAAATCACACACGCACACAACCATAACCCTTAACCACCGCCACCTTTAACTCGACAACCACCCACTCCTCCGATCCCGCATCTGGATTTGGCACCGCCTGGACCGATTTTGCTCGTCTTCAATATCGCACTCCTCGACCGCCAATAATGTCTTCGTACTATCACTCTTACGCCCACCAGCAGCCTACAGCCGCCGCTGCTCCTGCGGCATCCCACGCTCACCATGGTGGGCGTAACAGGAGAGCTCCTAGGCTGTCGGTTTCCCAGAACACGCATAAGCAATTCCGCGGTGTCCGGAGTATGAAGGACTTGTCCGAGACCGTGTCCGTGAACTCGTACCGCACAAAGTACGAGGCTGGCCGCTCCTTTGACCTCGAGGACGACATGGAGTTTTGCCCCGGCCTTTTGACCGATGATGATGTGAGTAGTCCACTAGATGAACCGGACCGTTGGCCTGCTACCCTCTCCAAGACGCCGGCACTAACCCGCCTTCTCTTCTAAAGTTGGTCTCCATCCACAGCGCTTCCTCTGAGCGCTCGTCCTTGGCAAGCAACTCGCCGCAAAGCTCTCCTACGCAGCAGCCCATCACTATTGCGCCAGGCTTCTCGCTCAACAACTCTTATCTTCCTCCGGTCTACCAAAGTCAACAGGCGACCCTCAAGCTTCACCAGCCCTCTGCCACCCGCGGCCGTAATGCCATTCCCATCATCAACCCTGCTACTGGCATCACCATGACCAGCCCACCCCCCTCGGTATCGCCCGCTCGGATGCAGCAGCAGCAGCAGCAGCAGTCCCTTATGGGTGCCCGGCCAAGATGGTAAGGCGACTGATGTCTCGCTTCTGTGACGCAGACGAGGCTAGGCCGACCTAGACCGTCGTCGCCGTTGCAAAATGAACTGTACAAGTACTGCTCTTTTCGCATACTCATTGCAGATGCTCATCTTGGCGGGTACCACCGACGTTTTTTCAACCTTTTTAGCAGGCAGGCATTACGATGATTTTCTCATTTTCCCGGCAGGCAGGGGGCGACAACCCAATCTTCAACTGGATCTTCGACCTTTTCGGCAACTTTTTTTCCGATACCCAACCTGTACAAACATCCTTTAATCGACATAAGCTCCTTTCCCTTCTTGAAGCGAAAGATCTTGACATTTTCGGACGGCGCAAAAAACGAAGATCCATCGGTACCTCTTGTTTTTTTTTCGAATACCCAAAAAAGCGCGGTGGTGTCTATGGTCTCGAAAGATGGGGCTGCTTTGATCTTTTTACGAAACGGGCGTTTACCAAGGTGGTTTTGCATCCCTCCGAACTACTAATCACTTCACACACAACTATTTGCATCGGTGTCTCACGACGGAGTTCTTCGCATTTTCCTCGCCTCGGCGACTTTTCTCTTATTTTCTCGTTTTTCGATACCATACACGGGGTTTTTGGTGTTTCGTCATCGTCACTAAGAAGCGGCGACTTCAGTCACATGATAAAAGTCATAACGGTTCACGGGTCCACGAATTCATCAAAGAAAAAGAGATCGACATATAGAGCGACTTTCGATGGGTTTTTAGCAGGCAGCGCTATGTGGGCGGGAGGCTTTTGCAACCTTGGGTGTTCTCGAATTTTGGGGGCTACATGGGCAAATCTGTTTTTTGGGAGCAGGCGGGCAGGCAGGCAGGCAAAGACCTCTTTTGTCGTTTTGGTGTCGCGCGGAATCTCAACTTGCAAGCTGGAATTTCCGGGGTGTACGGGAATGAGGAGTTGGTTCTGAAAGTATTTTCGGGGATTTTCTATTATTTCTTTTCTTGGTTTTGTATTCCGGATTTTCTTTCCGCCTGTATCATGAAGGAGGCGCTGTGCTACGGCTTAGCTCCGCCTTTGCTTTTCTTTCTTGTTGATTTTGGGATTCATTTCTTCCAACGGGGAAACTTTGCATCTCTCGGATCTGGCTCGGTGTGTGGAAAGATATCAGCGTGTCTCTTTTCTCGTCTCTACTATTTCTGGGGAAGGCTGGCTCGGTTTTTTGTTTCGGCACAAAGCATCATCATTTCGGGGAATATCCTCTTTTTTGGGAGCGGGCGTCGCTTAAACTTTGCTGGTGTGTGTCTTCCATATCCATTTGTTATGAGGAGTTTACACTGGAAAGGGTTGTGTGTTTCTGTCTGCTACTTGCGCTGGGGTGTGGCGATTAGCTCCGAAATAGCTGCTTTGTCCCGGTCGAGTCACCATTCACCGTGTGACTCTGTTCGACCGCTCGACCCAAAAAAAGCTTGTGTGTGAATATTTGGGAGATTTTCTCCTGAACAAAAATTTCAAGCAATACGACGGGCGATCGAAAATGAAAATAAAAACAACCGCCTTCTTCACTCATAACCTCGTTCTCTCCACTGCCTTTGTGACCTGCCATTGTTCCATTCCCAGTGCCGTGTATGTCTGTTTGACTTGAAGTGAGGTGACAAGTGGTACGATGACATGCCGTGATACAGTATATCTCTACCCCATCGTTATGCTGTGTGATTCTACGTCTGGCGGTAGAGGTGTCTCTACAAGCTTGTTTGTGTGTCACGGCAGTTCATTTGTAGTAAGTCGCCGAGTGTTCGCCTCGTCATGACTGGCTCACTCATAACTGACGGGGCGGCAAACACCCAAGTCGTGATTTCACCGAGTCTGGATTGGATGACCGAATGTCGGATCGATTAACCTGTATGCGCTCGTTCTATCCGTTCACAAGGCTCACAACAACAAGGAAGGCGATTGATAACAACGGCAAAGACGACGAAGACAGATACAACCGAACTTGACGACACAATGATCACTTTGTTCTGCATTTTCACACTTTTTGGTGTCTCCCGTTTGCTGAGTGACTGACTGCTTAACCTTCTTTGTTTCATCCAGTATGGTAGGTAAATAAAACCCGAGGAAACGACAACACCGAGGACATATCCATCACAAAGCAAAACAACCGGATGTGAAAGTTCAAACTCGAGTGTTTGATCCTAGATTCATCCAATTATTCGGCGAGGCACCAATGCTCTGGAATTACGAAGCCCATGTCACAAAGGCTCTTCTTTGCAGCCGAAGGATAGACGAGACGACAAGTGAGGAGGAACGACCAAGCACTCATTCTTTTCCCCTCGGTTTTCTCCACTGCACTCGCTTTTCCCCCTCGTTGCACTCTCAATCGCTCCTTCTTGTATTCCTTCCCATCCCCAGACCACCAATCTGGGAAGCAACTTCCCAACCGCAACGGTCTGAGCTGCCCGAGTCACCCCTTGCTAACTGTGTTGTTGGCGATTCTCGTACACTGTACCTCTAGGTGGGTGAGTGCCCCTGAGTAGACGACGGACTAAATGCTTGTGTGAAGTGATTTGAAGTCCGCCGTCAGGATATAGAAGGAAATTGCTTAATGAGTGAGTGGCATGTATGCATCTCCAGAAACATAGCCAGTAAGAGTTGGCTGGCACGTAGGTTTAGTTGAGTTGTCTTTGTAAATGCGGTAGGTGCAAATGACGGTTATACGACGAAGTATCAATCCTCAACACCATCACCAGGACTGGAGACATGAGAAACTCTACATATTAACTCGTACTACGCGAATGCTATTCCCAAGTGTTATCATACAACAAACCAAAAGAGCAAAAGCATCATATCAGGATAAGCAAAAGAAGCAAGAACAGCTCGATAATAATCCTACTGACTTTTCATCCATCCATCCTTCTCTCCTTCCTAGGAAAAGAATTCCACTCACTCCTCGGTTCAATTTCATAAATGTAAGACTCGAATAACACATGGTGAAAAACACCCCTTCGTCATTCTTCGCTCCATCCATTTCTCAACCACTTCACACAATCATTCCTTTCGTTTACAACACCAACACAACTGCTCACTGGTTATCACAATCCCCATCGCTTATGTCTCCCTATCAACTCTGACAAACCTCAAACCTCTTACGAACCCCTCGGCCTACCCCTCCCTCTCCCCCTCCCTCTAATCCCCCCTCTCCCCCTCGACACAATCCCAACTCCACCTCCTCGCCCTCTGCTCGCAGTAAAGCTCTGGCGCACACTCTCCTTCCTAGCCGGAATATCCTCATCATCCGAGTCCGAGTCCGAGCTCGGCTCGTCTTCAGAGCCCGTACCACTTGCCGCTTCGCTTCCACTTCTGCTCCGCTCTGACTGTGACCTCTGAGAAGTCGAGCGGGATCCGGAGTGGTAGCTGCCGCCGCCGTAATCGGACTCTTCATCGTCGGTGTCCATGAGCCTGACGACGGTAGGGCCTGCGGGCTTCGGTGGGGGTGGTGGTGGCGAAGGTGACGGGGAGGGAGAGATGCGGGTGACTGATGGAGCGGATGGCGCACGACTTGGAGGTTCGGGCGAGGCGCTGACACTTGGGCTGCGTTCTGGCTCTGGAGACTTGCTGGGCGAGGCCTCGTCGCGCGGAGGGCTGATGCGGACTGATGCCTGAGATACAGAGTGGCGAGCTGGTTCTGGAGACTTCTCCTTCTCTTGCTCGGGCTCAAGTTCCTCCCGTTCAGACTCGGAGTGGTGAGGTTCCTCATCTGCAGGCTGGACAGTCTGGCGAGTTGCTGACGTGGTCCTGGTCCTGGTCGTCCTAGGCGACTCACGCACAGGAAGGGAAGTCTCCTTCCCAGCACCCCGGGTCGCCCGTCCAGAGACAGCAGGAGAGGCACTCTTCTCGATCGAGTCAACTGGCGCTGGCTTAGCGACCACCTTTGCGGGCGTACCCCCGGTGCTTTTGCGCTCACCAATCTTGAACTTCTTGCCCTTGAGCTTCATACGCTCAGCCAATGATAGCATGGGCGTCCTGGTGGTGACCTCAACCGTGACCTTCTTAACGCCGTTCTTCGGTGGACGGCCTCTCCTCTTAGGAGCTTGGGAAGCATCGGCATCGCGCTCGACGGCCTCACCGTTCTCGTCAAATCCATCAAGCTCTTGGGCGAGTTGGGCGTCAATGTCCTCATCATGGTCGCTGTCCTCAGCATCCGTTGCTGCCATCGGTCTACGCGGGGGGCGTCCACGTCTCCGAGAGGGTTCTGATGCCTCATGCATCTCCTCATCCTCACTGTCGTGGGCTTCCGACCTACGTGGCCGTCCGGGAGGCCGTCCTCGCTTCTTATGCGGTCCACGTAGCTTTGACGGCCCAGATGGCGCAGCAGCGGCACGAGTCGACTTGGGTTCCTGAGAGGCTTCATTGCTACGGTCGCCACCGGCGCCAGTAATGGCGAGAACGGCGGCAGAAGCAAGATCCAAGGGGTCCTTGGGACCAGTCGGCCCTTCAATACTCTGCACAACGTTGGCCGGTGCCGCAGCTGCCCGGTATTCAGGTTTCTGCGAGCGAGGGATGAGAATATCGTTGAATTCCTCCTCGTTGTCCTCATCGACCCTGTAAGAGATCTTGGGCCTTGCATGTCGAAGGGTAGGCACGTTGGCTGGGTACAGGCGCTGACCAGACTTCTCACCTGCCTCATCCGAAGGCTGGCCGTTTGCAGGCTGCGAGGCGCCAGCCTGGGCAGATTCAGCTCTGATATCACCGGCAACATCCGGCATCGTCTGATCAAAGAGAGCCGGATCCATGTTCTCAAGAACATCATCTTGACCGTCCCGCGTAGGTGGCGGCTGGGAAGAAGTCTTGTCGAGCTTCTGCTTCTTCCGATGGTGAGGCCGAGGTGCAGCAAAATCAGGATCGTCATCTTCGGCATGGCGAGCCCTACGTTTAGCCAACCGAAGCTGCTTCTTCAAATACTCAGACATCAACTCGGGCTCTTCGTCAACAACGTAATCTTCGGCCGTAGGTCGCTGATAAGGGTCGAACAGAATCTTGTCCGGACTATCATCATCCTGCTGGTAGTAACCCATACCAAGCATACGCTCCTGGCCGAACAAGTCCGGATCAGGGTAAGCGGACTGATCCTGATCCTCTGGGGCGATAGACATATCCGCAACCTCGGCGGGACCCGCTGGTTGGGCAGCGCTGGGTTGCTCGGCAGATGTGCCGTTCATTTTGACATCCGGCCTCTCCTGGCCCCCGCCCAAGCCGTCGGCAATGGACTGCTGCAAAGCGTCATCCGTGTTTTCAGCTCCTGCTGCCTGCTCGCCATTCTGTAAGGCAGGGACCTCGATGTGTACGTCGTCTGCGTTCTTAGCCTTCTCAGCCTCAGCCTGTTGCTGTAGCTTTTGCAATCTCTTGCTTTGAACGTTGCGGCCGTCGTCGCCAGAGGTCTTGAGCCAGTTGAGGTTATGCACCTTGAAATCGACAAGTGTTTCCACACTCCGATCGTCAGCGATGGGCGAGTATCGTGTCCAAGCAGCGTATTTCTTGGCTGATATGGAACATTTCCGTTCTTGAGCCTACGGCAAGCACCGCAGTTACACATCTTGAGGCACTTAGGGCACTCCCATCTCTCGTTTTGGAGGACTTCCTGGGGCATGAGATCGAACGCTCGGTAGAGGACACCGTAGCAGTAGGCTTCTGAACAGCCTGGATTCGAACAGAATGCGAGCTTGTAAGTAAAGTCTTTGTGCGAGCAAACATGGCAACGGTAAACATCGCCCTTCTTCTTTTTGCGACGTGGCTTCTTCTTAGGCTTGCCATTTTCGTCGAATTCTGGCTCCGAGACTTCGGGCTCCTCAGGTTTGTCAAGTTTGCTAATATCCTTCCATGGCCGTCTCCGAAGTTGCTCCTGGCAAATTTGTGCCACAGACTTCTTGCCTGTCTTCTTCCTCGCCAGCTCCAACGGTAGGGGAGAAGTGTCATAGTCGACATAACCATCGTTCTTGATGATAAGAGCTCGCCACTCTTCATAACGATCCACCAGGTCAGACCACTTCCACTGCTCGCACCAAGTGAGGTTGGAAACACAGAGGCACGAACGTCCCATGGCGTAGCACTCCATACAGATATCGTAGGTGTCTTCATCTCCAGTAACCAGGGTGCGAACACAGTGTTTGCAGGTGAGGAAGCGGTTGAAAATGTTGGCTCTGCAGTACGAGCAGGTAATGCAGGAGTCAAACTCAACGTACTCAATCTCCTTCTCCTTTATGGCAAACATCTCGTCCACCAGAATCTCAGTGAACAAGCGGAAGAGAGCCTTGAAGTCTTTGGCGATTTGTGTCATGCGGAAAGAGTTCTTCATCAGATCCTGACCAAAGCCGAGCAACCCAATGTCGGCATTCTGCTCCATCTCTCTCATCTGGTTGTAATACTTCTGTAGTGTGAAGTAGATGATCGCTTTGTTCTTGTACTGTTCATCACGGCAGACAAGTCTTGCCTTGGGAAGAGCTTCATGCAAGGCCATCTCCAGGGTCTCAGCCGTAGTCCTGTTCCACGCAACCTTGATGGTGCGAGTGCCGCGATTCCAGACCTGATGGGGAGCCAGAGGAGGAACCAGAACGAAGTCGCCCACTTTCTGTTCCACAATGTAGACGGGGAAGTTCGCCTTCTTCCAAGCGTTGATCTGAGCGAAATGCTTCTCAATCTCGATGTCGTGTCCCAGGATAGAGAGGAAGTATTCTCTGACGACCTCGCGGTCCTTGGTCTCGGTCATGAACCAGATCGAGCTGCCCGGCTTCTCCCCGTTCTCATCTCCGGATGCATCCACCATGATGTTCTGGCCCAAGCTGGCGCACATTTCGCGATGGGCGGGAGTGTATGTGCCTTCGTGGCCGACGTAGCACATCAGGTTCTGGGCGCGCATCTCTTCGGGAAGACTGCTCATCAGGTCACCGGCTGGGGCGCAGGACTTCTCCACGTAGTCGTAGTCATCGTAGCGCCTCGAAGCCTTCCTGTCGAGGTTGTCGTTCATGTAAAACAGGTTCGTCGGAATGACCTTTTGGAGGCGCTCGTGCCACTCGGGTGGGCAGTCGATATCCTTGAGGTAGAGACGCTGACGGCGCTCGTCGCGGAAGTTGTTCGGGGTCCATTGGTTCGTCAACTGCTTCATCGATCGGAGGTAATGACCCATAGTCATCGGGATGTCGGTTTGAGAAACGATGTCGCGAACATTTTCCTCTGCAAAGAGCGAAAGTGTTTAGATTCTACATCAAAGTTGGCACAAGCCTAAAAGCTTCCACTTGACAACTCACGTTTCTTGTTATATGTGTCCTCGAGCCATTCTGCGCTGAACAGCGTCTTGGGTAGTCGGTCGTTCCATTTTTCGATGACCAGCGGTTTGCCGCCGCGGATAACGTGAAGGTAAACGAGTCTCTCAAACTCTTGAGGACCGATGTTGCGGATCTGAGCTGCCGAGACACGCAGGACCCAATGGAAGTTTGGCGTCTTTTCGACCAGGGCATGAAGATCGAGATCCGGCGGAATGGGGTCGAATTTGGCCTGGGGATGGGATGCGACCGGCATCTTGGTGATGGTGGTGGTGGTGTGTGTCGGCTGTTGTTGTGATGCGACGATGTTGTACTAATTCTCTAGTGGGTTCGGAAGAGGTTCGTGCGAGGGACGTGATGATTACGCGATAGACGAGAGGTGTTGTTGTTGGAGATGGCGCGCAAGAGCATTCAGGCTACATGATGCTCAATTCGACATTAAAGTGTTTTTGCTGTGTTGATGAAGACAGCGGAACCTAAAGGAAGCGGGGCGTGCACTGTCGTGAGAGACGTATGCGCGGACGCCTTCACTCTGGTGTTGCCGCAGCGAGTTGTGATGTGAAATCGCCCCGTGCCGGAGTGGGAGACAACGGTTCACTGTCCGACGCGGCAAAAGTCGACAAGGCCAATTGGTAATAATCCCTGCAGCGACGGGAGGAGCAGAAGAAGCGCGAATGCGGGAGGCTGAACCGCTGCGGGGCCTCCACTCTCAGCTTTATCTTATCATTGAGCCAGTCACAACGAGCGGTGGGCCTGTGGCTGATGCTGTCACCTCAAATCAGATGAAGAAGAGCTACCTGTGGCGCATGAAATTTGGTGTAGATCAGAAGGCTGAGAACAACAAGTTCACGAAGACGACCCTAGTTTAAGGGCCCAACTCGTCTCTCTGCTCGACTCTGGATCAGGGTGTCAGAGGCAGAATAGCTTGGTTGGATAGGGATTGGGACTAGAGGTACATTTCACAAAACCTTATTTTTCATCTTATTTGTTTGACTCAACGGCCACGGTATCTTCGGCATCTCTGACAGTCGACAACATGTGAAGTTGCTCACTTACACGATATCCACTAGTCCTCACTAACACTTACACATCATCACAGACTGCTTTACTCTCACGACGGTCGCTTCGGCAGAAGGACATCTCATCCACAATGTCCTCACACCGTCTTCTAACCGGGCTCGTCCCCCGACGAACCTTTTCTCACAACACCACCACTCGTTTTCTCAGCAAGCCATCATGCTCATCACCACCATGTCTCGGCATCCTCCCTTCTCACCAGTCCAAAGCGCTCATCAACCCTCGTCTCCTCTCACTTGAGAAGACCCTTCACTCTCAAAAACAACCATACCACACCACCAAGTCTCTGCTCTCACAGCCCGAAATCCCAACAACGCCCACCAGTGCCGTCCTCCCCACCACCTCCATCCCCGGTTCCTCCGACCCTCCCCTACCAGAGTACACCCCACCCACCACCGGTCTCCTCTCGAAGCTTCCCCATTCCTGGGTCCCCTACGCGGAACTAGCCCGCCTCGACAAGCCCACAGGGTCTTACTACCTCTTCTTCCCCTGCCTCTTCAGCACACTTCTCGCAGCCCCCCTAGTCCCGGGCGCCATCGCCTCCCCCGCCGCGGTCGTGGGAACCTCCCTCCTCTTCTTCTCGGGAGCGATCATCATGCGCGGCGCCGGCTGCGCCATCAACGACCTCTGGGACCGCAACCTCGATCCGCACGTCACGCGCACACGTCTACGTCCCATCGCCAGACGGGCCATCACGCCCTTCCAGGGCTTAGTCTTCACTGGCTCGCAGCTTCTGGCCGGACTGGCGGTGTTGCTGCAGTTTCCCTTTGGGTGTTTCTGGTACGCTACCCCGAGCTTGCTGTTCGTGGCGTGTTATCCGCTCGCGAAAAGGGTGACGTATTACCCGCAGTTCATGCTGGGGTTGACGTTTTCATGGGGAGCGATTATGGGTTTCCCTGCGCTGGGGGTGGACTTGTTGGCGAATAGTGCGGCGTTGACGGCGGCCGGGTGTTTGTATACCAGCAACATTGCGTGGACGGTACTGTATGATATGATATATGCGCATATGGATATCAAGGATGATGCCAAGGCGGGCATCAAGAGCATTGCGCTCAAGCACGATAAGGAGACGAAGCAGGTGTTGACGGGCTTGGCGGTTGTGCAGATTGGACTGCTGGCTGGAGCGGGTGCGGCGGTGGGTGCTGGGCCGGCGTTCTTCATCGGGAGCTGTGGCGGTGCGGCTTTGACGTTGGGGTACATGATCAAGAAGGTCAACTTGAAGAGCGTCAAGGACTGCTGGTGGTGGTTTGTCAACGGCTGCTGGATTACCGGTGGCGTCATCAGCCTGGGGTTGGCGACGGACTATTTGCTCAACTACTACGAGCAGGAGAAGCAGGAGAAGCAGGAGAAGAAGCCGGAGAAGCTGGAGTCAGCCTGAAAGATGGCAACGTCTCTTTGTTCGTTCTGGGATATCATCTTTGTAATTTCATGTACCATAACACCATGTTTGTCATACTATTAGACAGAAACAGTCCCTGGGCAATCTCCAAAACACACCACAAAAAGGCATGAAGAATAGAGAGAAGGAGCTTTTTGGGGAAAGCACGATTTCTTTTGGCAATTAATGACCTGCTTTCTGTTGGATCATTACTACCATGAGAGCTTAGGTATCCCTTAAACCCAAAACCAAAATGCCGTTGTAAAAAAGCCTCGTAGACTCCGCATAATGAACCGTGCCCGTTTGCCTGCTCGAAGCAACGATACGCTTAAGAGCGGGGCTTCTCCTTCTTCTCCTTCCAGAGGGCGAGGAGACCGACACCAGAGACCTTGACGACCTTGAAGCGGACACCGGGAATATCACCCTTGGCCTTGCCCTTGCGACCGAAACCGGCGAGGAGGACCTCGTCGTTCTCGTCAACGAAGTTCAAGCAACCATCGTTGGGGACTAGAGAGGAAAAATGGGTTAGCACATTTGCCACTCGGATGCGCTGGGTTTCCAGCAGGATAATCTTTCATCATCGAAAGATTCAAGACTAGGGGAGGGGTTGTCGTACCGAAAGCAGTGACCTTCTTGCCGTTCTTGATGAGCTGGACACGGACACACTTGCGGATAGCCTATGGTCGCAAATGTTAGCCTTGTGTTGACGTATGTTTGCGTTATTTGATATTGGAGAATCGAGTCGGAGTCGAGTTCATCGAAATCGGGATCGGGGTGTACGTACGGAGTTAGGCTGCTTGGCCTCAACGCCGACCTTCTCGAGCACAATGCCCTTGGCGTGGGAAGAACCACCGAAGGGGCTGTCATCATCATGTTAGCCGAATGTCCTCCATCGCGTTTCGTTTCGCTTTCGTGTGCTCGTCGCCCTCGATCGCCCCATCGTTCCCATCTCTCCCTCTTCATTTCGTCATCGTCATCGTTCGGGCGTCGTTTCTATCTCCATCGCCATCTCCATCGTGATCGCCATCGTCGGGACTGATGCGTACCTGGACTTGAAGGCAGTGCCGAGAGCCCTCTTCTTGTAGTGAAGATCGGACCAACGCTGCTCGCGACGGTTGTTGCGCAGCTTGCGGGCCGCGTTAAGACCACGGGGCTTTCCTCCAGACATATTGGCTTTTGGTTGAAAATGTCAGTTTGAGGGACAGTTTCAAAGGAGGAGTCGGAAATCGAAATATCTCGACGTGGTAAAGGCGGGGGGCAGCAGGGAGACACGTACCGACTTAGAGACGTGATCACGGACTCTGGGTACAGTTCGTAATCCGGAGGGTCAAGGTCACGGTTTGCTGGGAATTTTTTGGTTTTTCCGTAGTAGGGCGAGAAAACCCTAGGACTGCGTGCGATTGGGTGGCGGTCGAGTGGGGTCATTCGCCTCAGGCAACTGTCGTTGATTGTGTGACAGGTGGAGAATTATGCGTGCATCTGACCAATTGAAGTGGCTACTGATAAGCCCCCTTTGATAAGCCACTGCTCCGTCCCGTCACTTGCATGCTTGTACCGTCAAGGTTCCCCAAAGCTCAACCAACCAACGCGGTCAGTCGCGTCGCTTGTCACAGTTCATTGCAGTTCCGTCCATCTTCAAATCTGACCTACGAAAACATTCAATCAAGCCACCTTTGGAAAATGTAGCCATGTCCCAACTCGCCAAGGTAAAGTCCAAGGCGCGTGAGCCGCCGTCGCTCTTCCTTCCTCCTTCTCCATCGGCCTCCCATGCCTCGCTCTCTGCAACCACCGGCCCGGTCCAGGTCACCAGTCGGGACCGGGACCATCCTCCTCTCTCGGACCTGGCCGCGGGGGCGCATCTCTTCTACCTTCCCCGGCTGTGAACGATACTCGACGAGGAAGTGTCGCCGCTGCCGCTGCTGTAGCCAACGCAGCAACAACCACGACCGGTTCTAGCACTCCGAATCCCGCGACAACCCTCAATCTCTCCCTTCCGTTGCAGCTGCCTCGAGGCGAGTCTACGCGCACCACCGATAGGACGGATGCGCTCTGGGCCGAGATGCAGGCGACTTTGGAGGAGGTCGAGCTGTCAGCTAGCGGCGGCACGAGGGTGTTTGGGCCGGATCATGAGCAGAAGCTGGCGGAGCTACGGCAGGCGCAGATTGCCCTGGCACAGGCTTGGGCGAGGAGCGAAGCGGATGATGCTGTTGAAACACAGAACAAGGGGGGTGCTGCAAGCGTTGTGGGAGCCGGGTTAGGGAGAACCAAGTCGTCAGTTGCCGGAACGGAATACGGTGGCTTTGGCGGGAAATCCGAGGCGGGTGGTACGATAGGAGGCACCGAGGGCGGAGGACCGAAGAGCACTGTGGGTGCCGGCAGCACACGGCCCAATAGTGCCGGAGGACCTGAGAAGCTTGGGGCGAAGCTCGAGCAGGAGACTGACGCCGACATTCTACTTGCGAGAAAGAGACGTGAGGCCAATGATCACTACTTTTCGAGAGTCAACCAGGGCGTCCTCGATGTTGTCGCCAAGTTGGAGGATGTAGCTGTTGCCATGCGCGCGGTTGAACAGGAGAGTAAGGACATCTGGGCAGACGGTGAAGACGACAGCAATCCGGGGAGTGTAAGGGCCAATGCTTAATTGGCGGTATAGGTATGATGACATCGCGTTTGGGACTTGAGGAAGGTATCACCATGGGCTTCCCACCACCATGACTAGTTGGCATTTCTGCGGCGTTGGAACTCTGGAGCATTCCCTTACTACACTACTGCGTACCTAAGTTCTCCATCTATCATAATCGATAATACACCTAATTGGTCTTCAATACAGATCACATGAAGCTCAAGCTTACCAGACTCGCATACTCAAATATCTCCTGGGAGACTTGATGCTCTCTCCCTGTTGCGTAAGCATGCATGGCTAGCTCATATCTGCCGAGGCTGGCGATGATGAGACGAAGCCGGGCAGTCTCCAAAAGGGGCTAGGCGCTAGGAACACCGGGACACCCCACGTGTGGTGGATTTGGCATCCTCGGGACCTTGCAACTTGGCATCCACATTCCACCTCATCCCCCAATTCCCCCACTGAAGTGCGACTCCAAGTCCATTCATCCGGATTGCCGACCCGAACCCAGCGAGCGACGAGGCCCGTCCTTCTGTTCCGTCTGGTCCATTTGGCGAGTCCATCCCAAGTCCCAACCTCCAATTTGTAGGATTGTCGTGGTTGTTGTCGGAGGAGAGGGATGGCCTCGGAAGCCCGGGTTTGTTGTTGTCGTTTGAGTGAACCGGGGAATCCGAATGTTGTGTGTCTACCTATCAAATGGAAGCTCTTGTCCTACCATGGAGGGGCAACATGTGAAGCTCTAAAAAAGCCCTCACCACGACAACTGTTGAAGGGGATTCAGGTGTACATACGTAACTGTCTGAGCCCGCGACAGTGACACCATTCTCTAGGAACACAGAACAATGCCAGGACCAGGAATTGAGGTTCCCGTCATATTTCCCAGTTATGCTCATTAAGTCCGGTGTAATCGGTTATAAGAGGTGACCGGTTCCTTACAACCAACCATACCAACAAACTGAAGTTGTAGATGAACCGGACGGCAACTCGCTTCATGTACCCCGTAAATCCATACAGAATCCTATGAAGACAGCCCGAGGCGGTAACAGTGCGTCATATGCAGTAACTGCAAGCAGGTGAGATCCCCCAGATTTCCAAGATTCAGGGCAACTCAATGAAGGGGGAACACGGGCGCTGACGGGGACCTCCAACTCAACAACCACTGACAACCAAGTGCTGCCGCTCCGATCACTGGAGAAAAAAAAGATTCGCCGAGCCTCAAACGTAGCCAAACCAGGACCGCCCCCGGCCCGCCTCCATACAGTATACCCCTAGTACTACCGTGACCCGGACTACTAAAAGAGGTACCCGTAGCCCGACTACCTTACCTGGCTCCCGCGTCCCGTGTCCGTTTCGCTCCGTTGATTCGATTTTGAGGTCATTTCCTTTTCCAACTTTCCCTTCTTCTTCTTCTTCTTTTGCTTCTCTCTCCTTTCCCTCTCTCCCCTCTTGCTTCTTCCACCTTTCCCTAACAAACATCTCCACTCCTCCCCAACAACACACCACCACATTCAAGATGGGTTTCATCGACGACGAAGTTAAGCGCCTCGGCGATGTCATTGCCTCCCTCGAGGGTCGCGTCAAGTCCCTCGAGGCCCGCGAGTTCAGCGGCAAGCCCACCACCACCGCCGAGCAGGTCCGCATGATCCTCATCGGTCCCCCCGGTGCCGGCAAGGGCACCCAGGCCCCCAAGATCAAGGAGAAGTTCAACTGCTGTCACCTTGTAAGTTCCTTCCGAGAAACCAATTGGTGTCTTTTTCTCTCGCCAGCTTAGAACTAGGGACCAGATCGGACGAGAGGCTAACCAATGCGCGACACGCGCACCCTGCACTTCATAGGCCACCGGTGACATGCTCCGCGCCCAGGTTGCCAAGGGCACCGCTCTCGGTAAGCAGGCCAAGAAGATCATGAACGAGGGCGGTCTCGTCAGTGACGACATTGTCATTGGCATGATCAAGGACGAGTTGGAGAACAACAAGGAGTGCCAGGGCGGGTACGTTTATTTTTTGCTGCTGCCCTCTTCTCCCAGCTCTTCTATCCTTGAGTTTATAACTAACGCTTATTCCCTACAAACAGCTTCATCCTCGACGGCTTCCCCCGCACCGTTCCCCAGGCCGAGGGTCTCGACGCCATGCTCCGCGAGCGCAACCTCCCCCTGCAGCACGCCGTCGAGCTCAAGATCGACGACTCGCTCCTTGTTGCGCGCATCACGGGCCGTCTCGTCCACCCCGCTTCCGGCCGTTCCTACCACCTGACCTTCAACCCTCCCAAGGAGGCCATGAAGGACGACATCACTGGCGAGCCCCTCGTGCAGCGCTCGGACGACAACGCCGAGGCCCTCCGCAAGCGTCTCGAGACCTACCACAAGCAGACGGCGCCCGTCGTCGGCTACTACCAGAACACCGGCATCTGGAAGGCCATTGACGCCAGCCAGGAGCCCGGTCAGGTCTGGAAGTCCCTGCTTGCCATCTTCGATGGTGACAAGGCCAAGGCCAGCAACGCTGGTTCCGGTATCTTGAGCAAGATCGCTCACGCTGCCAAGAGCTCGTAAAGAAATCAACCGACTAACGAACGGACTCTGTTCGCTTGATGGTTCTACGTTTAACTTGGGTGGTGAAGGGAGAAGAGCAGGGCAGAAGGAAAGCGGGGCCAAGACTTCTTTCATGATAGTTGGGAATATTGAGGATACAAGATACCAATGCAACCAACAAACCTGGACCGACCCGAAACGAAACCGCAACATCCTCATCCTGCGCATAGTTGGTATGGGCTCTGCTTCTTCGATTCGAGTTTGGGGAAGGAGAAATGGACCCAGCCGACAGGGAAGGACTGTGTCATCACCACACGCACCATACCACACCACCTTAATATCGCCGAAAGATTACCGTTAGGGACTTTCGTGAAACGAGGAATTGGGGGTCTTTGATGTTATGATGATGGGGAAAAGCGACGGCGCATATTTGTTATCAATCATGACACGAGGACAGGACAAGACAACGAAATCTTGTAACCGGATATTTGGGATGGATGGATCTAGGACAGGGAAAAAGAATTGAACAAAACCCAAAGACCCTAATGATATTCCCATGATCGTGATGTGATATTGCTCATTCGTCCACCTTCTAATTCTAGGTATATCTCAGGGGTAAAGTAAACAAAACATTCCATCATCCCACCCGCTCAGCTCCTTATCAATGCGTCTTTCTATCTATCTAGTCATCGCTCCACGACCCCCTTTATTTAACATCCTCTTCGTGTGTGACACCGGCTAGCCATACTTTGCCCACATTCTATTCAAAGATATCTCATCTTCTCTATGGTACTTTTCTTCTTCTTTGTCGGAACTCAACCGCACGCGCGCACGCGGAAAACAGACTGTCAGTTAATCAATCACACCAACTCCCGTAGCCAGCACTGAAAGAAACGCCGTGGCCCCCGCCGTGGTGGCCATCGGCCGACGTATTGATGGTGATGATGGTGATGATGGTGATGATGATGATGATGATGATGATGATGAGCTTGTTGTTGGCCTCTGCTCCCTTCCTCTCAACACGACCGAGACACGATACAGGTTCTTCAGAGTGGTAGCCACCGCCGCTAGAGACAGTAACTCCCGGACAAGCGAGAGTATCGCCGTCCAGCAAGAAGGGTGGCATTGGTTAGGCAGGCTTGAACAGAGAGAATACAACACTTTGCATTGGTCTTGGTTGGTTTTGTAGGGCGTGATTGATAGTGGTAGCGGCGGCGGCGAGGTGGCCGAGCTACACGAGGACGAGGTTCTACCTCCTTGGCGTGGCTACAGGAGAAAAGGGGGAAGAGGGTCAGATTTTAGTTCGTCCCGAGGACAAGAAAGTTGAGGGGGATTGGGGGTAAAGTTTGTTACTCACAGTTTACCAACTGCCTTTGCTTGTGCAGCCAGCTCTTGGGTTGGTCATGCCTTCTTTGGAGGATAACGTGATTGCTCTGGAGTCGGCTGGTGATGTCGTACCACGCTGTTGTAATCATGGAATTCTCGCGCTGGAGGTTCTTAATGATTTGGTCGCTTGCCGCCTGTTGTTTGGAACGAAAGTTTTGCTCTGGTTAGTCTCAAAGTCAAGGGGGAATAATAACAATACAAACAAAAAAGCGCATTACAATCTAATCATCGTCCAGGCGGATGGAAAGCAACAAATGGACGTACCTTTTGGGCCGCGTAGGCACCACCGCTCTCAACAAGCTTGATCCGCCTTTGGAGGTCGTACTTCTCCTGTTCAGCCTTGTCGAGTTGCTATAGGCGAACGAGTGGCATTAGCATTCTGTGAAAGGTGCATATACAACATGCCCAAAACACTGTTTGGTGATGATAGGTTTGTCGGCTTCGACAGCTGGGATATCAGTCTGTGGGCAGGTAAAGTAATCGTGGATACAGTTGGAAAACAAAAAGGAGAAGAAAGGAGATGTTTGGGGCGATAGAACTGGGAGACAGGTGAACACCATACAGTACGTGATCACCAGTCACCAAGAGTGGGTATCTCGGTCTTCAATCGTCTGAGAATGCTCGACAGGCAAGCGCTGGTCTTCTCAAGGCCACTAAGCCAGGAGCCTTCTGATGGTATTGGCTTGGGAACGATGACCCATTCACCATCCTCATCAAAAACGAACTCAGATGCGATAGGGGAGGGGTCCGACAAAAGGCGGATGGTATCGCCCCGCGAGGCCAGATAAGGAGGTGTTGGACTTGGAGAAGGGTCGTTGCTCACCTCGATCTTTTGCCTGAGCGCGGCCTTCAGCTTCTCCATCTTTTCCACGTCCTCCTTCCTGGATTTGTTCGGATCTCCGCCGCTCGCAATAGCATCGTCCAGCTGCTTGCGGAGCTTGTCCTTAGAGACCAGTGCTTCCATCAGCTGCGCCTTCATCTCGTCCAGTTCAAACGTCTTCTCTCTGAGCTGCTTGCGTGTCGCTTCGAGTTCCTTCTGTAGTGACTCGGCTATCAACTCGTCAGACGCCTTGAGTGCGGTGAGTGCTGCTGATTGCTCCTCTCCAATGACGGACACTATATGAAGAATGTCAGCCAATCTCGCATTTGCATTTTCAGCACAAAGACGCCGGGACTCACGATCTGTCTTGACAGCAATCAACTCGCGTTCCTTGTCTGCAACGTTCTGTTCAAGCTCCTGAACCCGCTTTGTGAGGTTCTCAACGTCACTAGATGTGTCAAGGAACTGCTTGCGCAGGTTAACAAAGGCAGGATTGCTAATGTACTCGGGTGTTAGTGAATTCTGATCTTGTAGTTCCCATCCAGAATCAAGCTCGCCAACTAACCTTTCTCCTGCTGTGTTGTTCATAATGGCATTGAGTTGTTCCTGGGCAACGGCATGCTTCTCCATGGCTTCGGTGCACTTGCCGCGATACAAGTCTACCTTCTTGTTGGCCGACTCCAATTCGCTTCTTAGGCGTTCATTCTCAGACGCAACAGTCATATTGCTGCGCAAGACAGTGTTCTCTGCCTTGAGCCGCTGGAGCTCTAGACGAACGGCCGGTTCTGTTTCAAGCTCATGCTCGAGATTAAAGCCGCCATTGGTAACAGGGCTTTCAGAACCCGATGTCTCATGGATGGCGCCGCCCATTTGCAGCTGCTCCTGGAGCTCCTTGATCATATTTTCATCGGCCTGGTGTTTCGATTCGAGGTACTCGACTCTTCGTTGGAGCTCCTCGTTCGTTTCTTGCAAGACGTTCCTGGATTGGAGGGTGTAGACAATCTCTTGCTCGTTATTTGCCAGCACCTTGACCTTCTCCTCAATCTCCTTTTGTAGCTTCCTGTTTTGCGCTTTGAAGTTTTCGTAGTCCTTCAAGTCCTGTTCCATCTGGACAATTTGCTCTTCTAGTGTCCTGTTCCGTTGTTGGATGAATGTGAGATCTTGAGCCTTCTTCTTGTAGTTCTCAAGGCCCTTGATTTGTTGCTGTTGCTGCTTGTTTTCGTGCTCCAGCTCTGTAAGCTTGTCCTCCAGGTCCTTAACCCGGTCAGCCCTTGCTTTTAGAGCAGCATTGTCCTTCTCGAGCTTGGTGATGTGCGCTGTCTCCTTGACAAGCTGAGCCTCCAAGTCGTCGATGATGGCCATTTTGTCCTTGATCTCATCACGCAGGTCCTTGATGGCCGCACCAGCATCGGCACCCCTGTGCCTTTTCATGGCGTTCAGCTCGGCTTGCGCCCCATTAAGGTCGTTGAGCAGTGCTTGCCGTGTATCGAGGAGCTTGTCCACCCGCGCTTGTAGATCGGCATTCTGTTTTTTTACAAAGTCGTACGCGCCCTTTATTTGCCCCAACTCTTCCTCCATAAGGGCTGGATCCCTGGCGATGTGCAAATCGGCAGCATCTTGTCCGTCCACCTCCCTGGGCTCTTGCAGTTTCGGATCCGCATCGATCTGTTTTTGCTTTTGGAATACTTCAACAGTGTTGGCAATCTCCTTTTGCGTGACACTGTCAAGCTTCAAGATGGCGGGAACGTAGGCCTTGTTGGTGGAACCCAAGCAGATAGTAATGACAAAGTACGAGAGGAACTCGCAAATCGCGTTGTCGTCGGGGTGTTCTAGGATAGCGCGTAGCTTGGATGGCGGAGGAGCGTACTGTGGGAGGTCGTTGCGCATAAAGGCAGCAAGGCCACGAGACACGGTTTCGAGGTTGGCCTTGTTGTCTTCGGGTGACGAAGGAGTCCGTATGAGGCTCGAGCTGGAAAAGTCCCCGGAGGTCATATCTTCGAGGATGTCTCCCAGCATGAGACCATCTTGGAGGTCCTTAAGCGTGGCCGCCCGGCGCGATGTCTTGAAAGTGTTAATCCATTTCAAGAGGGCGGCCTGCTTCGCGAGGCTGTACTGCGTCATCGTTGGTGATCTCAAGAGGCCCGACGGGCCCACGGTTCAAACAACTTGATGTCGGTGATCAATGTCGAGGCCGCAGGGCGGATCGGAACCCAATGGACGAGGAGGGTGTCTGGGTCGAGGGCGTGTGGAATCGGGTCGTAGCGTATACAAGACGTTGTAGTATACGAGAACAGTACAGTATTCTCTTGCTGTCTGCCCGGTAATCGATTGTATGGCTGCGGCTGTTGGAGAAAGGGCGCGATGTGGTTAATGAAAGATAGAACAGAAAGAGGGTTGTAGGAGGTCGTTTCTTTTCTCAGGAGATGCTAATTAAACGCGGCGAACAGATGCCCAAAGAACGGGACAAGTCGGATATTTGGGGAAGTAAAGAGGGGACCGAGAATGAATGAATGAAGAAATAAAATGGAATGAGCTATCCTCTTGGATGGTTAGACTGTGGCTATTCAAGACGTCTAAGCGTGCGCGCAAGTTCTCGTGTTGTTGTATGTCCTGTTGTCAAACCAGCCCGGAAGTTCTTCGTACATAGGTTGACTTGTCCAATTCCCGAGTCGCGGTTGGACATTAAGTTGGAGGAATCTCGGGCGTCTCGTAACTGGCATACGGCGGGCGGGTTGCGCTATGCAGGCGTGGCAGGCCACTCTGGGGAAGGGGACTGGACGCAAATAGGCCATTGGCGTTATCGCTGATTAGGTAGCCCTGAGATGCAGAGAAACAGGGGTTCCAGGTTGGTTTCGGCAATGTAATTCGATGTAATTACGTGCATGGGGCATCACCGTTGTGCGAACTGTGGTCGTCGAGGTTCCCATTTGCATCCACTCAAACATCTCGATTCAGCTCATCCACCGCTGGAGCCAGTCTCAGGGATCAGGGCATATTAGGAACAGTGTTCCTGAAGAGCCCGAGAACCGCACCTCTACACCAAGGTACCAGTACATTACGAACATCAGGGCACTGACCAGACATGATCTGTACCTGAGGTGGTTGGGCTGTTATAGTCGAAGGATGGTAGGCTCTTGAAGACGCCTCGACCAAGTTTCTAGAAAGGAAACCCGCCAGACCGTTGTCTTGAGCTAGATTCATGGCAGGGCTGTTACCAAAGAGCCTTTGGTTCACGAGACATGTTGTTCACCGCAGTGGATCATCCTGTTCCCCTGAAGATCCAGTCATAGTTTTCAAGTCAGCGGCATAGTCGGTGATGAGTTGCGAATCTCTATAGCGTAGTTACGGATCAACTCCAGGATGACAATGACTTCAGGTTTGGTATCGTAGGATAACATGTACTTGTCAGGATTCGAACCTCGCTTCATGGCCGTGATGTTGATGAACACAAAAATCTATTGAACGTAAAGATGCTTGCCAAACGTTGGGCCATTGGACCCATCCGTTACCTTAGGTTTTGACACCAGTGACAATCCATCTCCATCAATCCATTTCCAAAAACGCCAAGACCATGACTTACAACAGTCCGTGTAAAAGGCAACAACTCTGCCCAGTACAGTTGCACCTGGGTATCATTTCCAACGCTCCTTGTCTCTCTCCTTTGCCTCTCTGCTTGTCACCATCGCTCGCTTCTTAGATGCCGCTGTATAGACTCGATGATTAGGATCTGTTATTTTGGCTCGTTCCGGGTATTGAAAATAATCAACTGGCCGCTTACAATGCATTGACGACCTTGTCCTCCTCGATAGTAGCATAGTTTTCGCTGAAGGCGGAAACCGACTCGAGAGTCTTTTCGCCAACCTTGGCAGAGAAGCCCCTGGATTAAAGTGTTAGTAACAACATCCGAACCAAGACAGTGTCCGCGAAACATACTTCATGAGGGTGTACTCGTGGGTAATGACACCACCAGCATCGACAATCGCCTTCTTGGCGTCCCTGATGACCGAGTCGGGAGTGTTCTCCTTGTAGGTGATGATGACCGACTTCTGAACGTCAACAGCAATGGCGCCGGAGACGAGGGCAAGAGCGCCGAGGACAAAACCGAAGAACTTCATTTTTGCGATAGATTTTGGTTATTTGGCTTTCTTTATGTTGAAACAGGTATAAAGGATGGCGTCACGTTGTTGGGCAAGACGATGAACCTCAATGGATGGATGGTTTCCCTTGAATAAAATGGCGGGAGGACCCCTCGACTTTAAACATGCCTGCCGATCCCCTCTGTCAACGGCGCAACGACAAAAAAGGTGCCATGTCACGCGCCAAGGAGTTTCCCAGCGCATATGAGACCCCCCTTTCTGCGGTCTCAGCTTCCTCAGGAGGAAGGTCGCTATAAAAGCCCCCTGTGAGTTCAGGCGGAAGGTACGTACACAGTACCTCACGGCCGTACCAGCTAGTACCTACTGATTAGATAAGGCCTGTTTGTTATGTCACCGCGGCAGTGGCACAGGGCAGAAGGCTGAGGTCCCACCGTCCAACGCAAGTTCAAGGTACTAGGCGCTAATCTGATTGGGTACTCACCTCCCAGCAAGTGAGGCAGCTAGCCAGTGACGACGGCGAGACCAGACCACTGCAAATACAGCAGTTGAGCTTCGAGGCCACTGACAACCTGACCTAAACTGACGATATACACATCGACAATCAAAACATCATACCCCCATCAGGCTTCCTTCTTTTACCCCACGAAATACCACCCGACCTGCCATCACGCCCATCGAACGCCAGAACCACCCATCACGACTCCGACGACACCTCGAATCTTAGCTGTCGCCATGCCCGCCACTACTGCGGAAACGCTCTCCCTGGTGAACCGCAGCGTCTCGGTTGCGCCGCTCGTTCTGCTTTCAGTCGTCGACCACTACAACCGTACCCAAGCCAACAAGTCCAAGAGCAAGCGTGTCGTCGGCGTGCTATTAGGCCAGAATGATGGAAAGAATGTTCGCGTGTCCAACAGTTTCGCGGGTGCGTAGTCTCTACCTCGAAAGCTTGCCTGGTTGCCCCGCGCGCCTAGGTGGTGGCTTTTTGGTTTCTAACTTGGCGATGTAGTTCCCTTCGAGGAGGACGACAAGGACCCCTCAGTCTGGTTCCTTGACCACAACTATGTCGAGTCCATGAACGACATGTTCAAGAAGGTCAATGCGCGCGAGAAGCTAATAGGCTGGTACCATTCCGGCCCCAAGCTACGGGCCTCCGATCTCGACATCAACGAACTGTTCAAGCGCTACACTCCCAACCCGCTTCTGGTTATTGTCGATGTTCAACCCAAGGAGACGGGTGTTCCCACAGATGCCTACTTTGCCGTGGACGAGATCAAGGATGTATGTGTTCCAGAAACCCAGTCGCGCTTCCACTTTGTCCCCGTTTAGCTTTGCCCAAGTATAGATGCTAACTAGGTTTGACTACCACAGGACGGCACCACCACATCCAAGACCTTTGTCCACACTCCCTCCATTATCGAGGCCGAAGAGGCCGAGGAAATCGGCGTCGAGCACCTCCTTCGCGACATCCGTGACGTAGCCGTCGGCACACTATCCACCCGCATCACCAACCAGATGCGCTCGCTGCAAGGCCTCCACCACCGCCTCCGCGACATCCAAGCATATCTCCAAAAGGTTCTCGACGGTCAGCTGCCCGTAAACCACGCCATTCTCGGCAACCTCCAGGACGTGTTCAACCTGCTCCCCAACCTCTCGACGCCCAAGTCCGGCCCAGGCGCTACTGGCATCAACGCCGACAGCGAGCTCAGCCACGCCATGAGCATCAAGACCAATGACCAGCTCATGGCCATCTACCTCAGCAGTCTGATCCGCGCCATCACTGCGTTCCACGACCTGATCGAGAACAAGATCCAGAACAGGCAGCAGCAGGAGGACAACGACGCCAAGAAGAAGGAAGGAGGAGAGAACGGCGAGAAGAAGGAGGGCGACAAGGACAAGAAGGAGGGTAGCCCGGTGGCGGCAAATGGTGAAAGCAAGGAGAAGGAGAGCCCGAAAGAGAAGAAGAAATAAGAGAAACAAAGCAAAGAGGCATATGAACGGCGAGCACGGGACTGACGGACACAGCGGACCGGGCCGTAGATGATACAAGATTAATCGAATTAAGCATGAATCATGTTTGTGTACGAAATCACAAGAGAGACTTTCACATAGAGAGAGCAGCACAGGGTCGAAAATGAGATCTTGGGCGATTGTTAATAATACTAGTTAACTGACAAGTCTCTTTGCTGCGGTTTGCCATTAACAGAGAAGCTAATATATCGGATCCTCGACTCTACCTCCAGACTTAGACTTCCGCAACAACCCCGGCCATCTCCTCTCTACTCGCCACCCTCTCCGTCACATATCTTCCTAATGCACCCCTCCACTTATCAGCCAACAGACAGGCAAGCAGGTGTTTACAAACCGGCGGTACGCTCGAGTGATCACCGGCGTCGAAGAGCGTCATCCCGCCGAAGGTCCAGCCTGCGGTTCCTAGTTTGTCTTTTACTCGCTGTCTTTCCCCTTCTTCTTGCTTTCCCTCTTCTCTCTCTTCTGGTAACTCCTTTCCTGTGTCTTCTTCTGGTTCTCCTCGAGCTTTTGGTTCTGGCTGAAGTTCGGGTTCGGAGACACAGCAAGCAAACGCAAACGCAGCACAGGTACAGTTCCACGCTTCCAGGCTGATTAGGTACCGCTGCATCTGTATTTGATGTCGGTCTGCTTCACTGCCATCTGTTTTTTCTGTATCGGCGTCTCCAAGACCGCCCATGTTGCTTTTCTTTCGTTTCCCGCCGCGTCTGGGGTGGGTGTTGTTGAGGAACTGGGAGGAGCGGACTAGGTAGCACTGTGCTGGTCTTCGTCTTTCTTCAAGTTGGCCTTCCCCTGGCGGCTTGTTCTGCTTTGGCTTTTCGTTCTCATCTCGGCTCTCAAGCTCATTGGTGCCGTCTTCTTGCATAGTTACATCATCCTCCTCTTGCTCATGCCGCTTCTGCTCCTCCCTCTTCACTAACGCAACCGCCTTCCCAGAAGTGGCAGCACACCTCAAAATAACCCTCTCAACCAAACCCCTCTCCAAAACTTCCAAGCCAGGTAACACCACACCCGGGAACAACACATGAAGTGTGATGAGGAGATGTCGATATTCAGGCGGTACCAGCTTGAGGGGGTTTACGTTCCCGTTCCCATTCCCACCTCCCCCACTCCTCTTTGCTTTGGTGGTGACAACGTCCTTCTGGTCTTCACCTTCGCCTTCTTCCTTGAGAACCTGGAGGAGTTGTTTCCTCCTGCTGTTGCTCGTGTCTGTTTCGGCTGTTGCTGCTGTTGCCGCCGCTGCTGTACCCTCCTTGTTCTCGTCTGTTGGTGGTTCTGCTGCTGGTGGTTTGCGAACCTGGGTAGGTGGCTCGTCGAGCAGAGGAATGTTGGAGATGGCGGTTATTAGGGAGGTGAGGAATTGGCGGGAGGTGGGGAGGTGGAGGGGTGTTGAGGTTTGTTGTGGTGAGTGTGGATCTGATTGTGGTCGTGGTGATGAGCTTTTTGCTTTTGGTGGTTTTTGGGGCTGGTAAGATGGTTGAGGCTGGTGTGAGGCAGGTGGATGTAAGTGGAAGTCGGGATCAGGATCGGGATGCCCGTCCGGGTGGTGTGATGCGGGTGAGGTCATCGCGGTGTTATTTCTTTCGGGGAATGGTTGCTTGAATGTCGTTGTGTAAATCCCGAAAAAGCCGTTGCGAGTAATTGTTATTGCTCGAGTTTTAATTCGCTCATGGTTTACTTGAAGGTTGTTGCGTGGTGTAAGTTGTAGGTGGACGCAGTGACGCGGTTGAGAATTTGTCACAAGCTCGATTATCTCTGCATATACTTCTACTCACCGATGCGGCAACTTTCACTCAGTCAAGACACAGCCAGACCTGACATATCATGGATCGCATTGTGTCTATACATCCTTTTTATTCATCACATATAACCCATATCTACCATGCAAGTCGTAAAATATAATACAAAGAACCTTTACGTAAGCATACAAACCCTCATCATCATACCCACTCCTTGGGGTTCTTAAGCACCTCAACCAACCTCGCCTCCCTGCTCTTCGGCTCCGGCTCATACATGTACTCCCACCTCGCCGTCAACGGCAAGCTCATGAGGATACTTTCCACGCGTGCACCAGGGGTATTCAAGCCAAACGCGGTGCCGCGATCGTGCACCAAGTTGAACTCGACATACTTGCCCCTGCGAATCTGCTGCCACTCCTTCTCCTTCTCTGTGAACGGCATGTCCTTGCGCTTGTTGATGATGGAGATGTAGTTTGGTGCAAACGACTTGAGAGCGTCCTGGACGAAAGCGAATGTGTTCTCCTTGTCGGAGACGGTCTCGTCCAGGTCGTCGAAGAAGATGCCACCGATACCGCGGGATTCGCCGCGATGCTTGTTGTAGAAGTACTCATCGCACCACTTCTTGAAGCGGGGGTAGTACTCCTTGTCGTGGGCGTCACAGACTTCCTTCAGCGTCTTGTGGAAGTGGATGGCGTCTTCGTCAAAGAGGTAGCTGGGCGTCAAGTCACTACCGCCACCGAACCACCACGCACCCGAGGAACCGTCGGGGTTGGCGGTCTCGAAGTATCGGTAGTTGAGGTGGACCGTCGGGGCCATGGGGTTTTTGGGGTGGACGATCAAGCTGAGACCGGCGGCGAAGAACTCGAGGCTGTCGGGAATGTTGTCGTCCTGGGCCAGGTTCTTGTGGTTGGCGCGCATCTTGATGATGGCGGGCTTGGGAAGAGTGCCATAGACGACGCTCACACCAACACCGGCCTTCTCAAACACCTTGCCGTCCTGGAGGACGCAGGTGATGCCACCACCGCCCTCCTTGCGCTGCCACTCGTCTACCCGAAATGGTGTGCCATCGGCCTCTTCTAGTGCTCTAACAATCTCCTTCTGTTGCTCCTTGACGAACTTCTCCATGCGCAGGCGCATCGGCGAGGCATCGGTCACGCCCTTCTCGCGCTTAGTCTGTTGGTCGCGCTCGGCGAGGGTGGGGGTATCGCATCGGATGGGGTCGTCAACGGCCTGGATTCAGAGCACATGGTGAGCTTAGGATTCGTAGTAGGCAGAGGTCAATGGGAAATTCGTAGCTGGCGCATACCATCTTGTAGCTAAGGGTAGTGGCAACGGCCAAGCCAGCGGCAGCCAAGGTGAGGTAGTTGCGGGAGTTCGAGAAAGCTTGACGGGCTGATCCGGAGCTCTGGAAGCTTGAAGCAGCTCTGCGAGGGGTCCAGGTATAGTTGAATTGGGGTTTCGTCTTGCACTGAGCAAACAGGCGAAGGGTAGGCCGACGCGAGGCCATCTTGACGGTTCTTATTTATACCAATTCGTATAAGTGGTAGTGCAGTGGTGGGTGGTGAGCAGTTGAAGTTCCGGTATCGAACGATTTCAGTCTGCAGACATGAGACCACCACCCCAGATCTAGGTACGGAGGGCCGGGAAAGACCGCGCGGGTTGAATGGTTCACAATGCGAATTGACGAATTGTCGATTCGGGATTGCCAAATAGAGGGCGAGGCTGAACCTGGAAATTTGACAGGCTCGATCCTCGGCTGATGTGGTGTCCAGAATCGGATGTTGTCGAAATCGAGAACTCGGGCTCGGCGGGTAGTCTAGTCTTCGCTGGGTATTCGCCCGGCGCGGCTGCTGCCCTGCTGGGGATGAGAGGGATCCGCTTGTGGTACCCCGAAGCCGAACTCTCTTTCACTGGCTGGATCAACTACGTACTGTATCTATACCAAAAATGACGCTACACCCGGAACAGGCTGATAGACAACACTCCTCTGTAACCACGGTGCCATGATTGCGCAGTGCCGTCCTCTGTGCGGGCAGAACGGAACATTCGCGGGGTGTTCCTTGCATTTCCACGGCTCCAGTGGATGGACGGGGAACCGGACTCTGAGGACGGAGGAGTGCAGTGGTGCGCCCGGTGGGAGTGGGATGTCCACAAAGGTGCTGCAGGCACTCCGGGGAGCGAACGGAGAAGGCGGACACCGAACGGTAACGGTACGTTGGTAGGTTAACACGCGGGCCCGGATCTCATGGCGGGCAGGGAACCGGTCACCTCCGATCGGACTTATGAGGAGGCTCGGAGGAGCTCCAGGATAATGGAAGCTCCATCGATGGTCTAATCTGTTATCTTATCGCACAACATGAAGTGCGAACTGGCGGAGAGAATGACGACTTCACAGTGACATCCATGACCTGGCCCTCCCTAGGCCTTTATGTTGTAATAGACGGGGAACAAAGCGGTCAACAACATGTGCAAGTTCGAGACACTGGCCAAGCCGATCGAGCCGTCCACGCCGTTCTTAGTAAAATGCGGTGACTACACAAAAGCCAAAGGAGCATGGCCACAAGGCCGCCTTGGGAAATGACGGGAAAGGAGGCTTTTTACAATGTCACCCTTCTTCCTTCCTTCTCTCACCGAGTGAGGTGTCTTCCTTCACGTACAATGAAGACAGGAGACAGAGAAGGAGTGTGCGTCATTGCCATTTCCACGCCGCCCCACTGTTGGCCAAGAGGTACTGTTCAGGTACCGCTCCTAGCTGAGTGCCGGGCACGCCTTCGCCCTGAGATGCCCCTGGAATGCCACTGAAAAGGCAATGACCTGTTAAGCTTGACCATGTGAGCGACGGCCAGTGACCCATCTGATTCACCGACTTGGGGACGGGCTAAACCCAATCCAGTATCGTCCCTCGCTTTAGTCATCTGGTCAGCCCCGCCTCCGGCTGCTGGTCACCCGCTGCTGTTTGTCCTGGCCTGTCCAGGGCCTTTGACCATAGACAGACGGGCAGGCGCCAACTGGACTGGACGCGGCCGATAGGCAACACTCGCATGCCTGGCACCTTAACACACCTTACACTTGCTCTGGTCAAAGAGGTACATCAACCCTTCTTCCCCCCTCTTCATCCTTTGGCCGTTTCTTACCTCTGACATCTCGCCAGCTTCCTCATTTCATCACACGCCAGTCATCAAGGTATGTTTTGCATTTCCGTTCAACGTTGATTTTGCCCATCTGGAAGCCATCTATAATCGGTCTACCTTTCGCTATCCGCCTCTCCGACTAACACTGGATGTTCTCTTATCGCAGACACCGTCTTATCCATCTATCGTATTCACGCTCGTGGTCAACACCGAAGTCAAAACATCTATCAGCACAACATCCACTTCATCAAAGCAAACCGCCAAAATGAGATCCAAGTTTAAGGACGAGCACCCCTTCGAGAAGCGCAAGGCTGAGGCTGAGCGTATTCGCCAGAAGTACTCCGACCGCATTCCCGTAAGCATCTCCCATTTCGACGATCTCGCAGTCACCGCTTTTATCACTAACACATCTCGTCGCCCACAGGTTATCTGCGAAAAGGTCGAAAAGAGTGATATCGCTACCATCGATAAGAAGAAGTACCTCGTACCGGCAGACCTCACCGTGGGCCAGTTCGTTTACGTCATCCGCAAGCGTATTAAGCTGTCCCCCGAGAAGGCCATCTTCATCTTCGTAGATGAGGTCCTTCCTCCAACCGCTGCTCTCATGAGCAGCATCTACGAGGAGCACAAGGACGAGGATGGGTACGTGACAGCTTCTGTCCCTATCATTTCCACAACTGTAACTCGGGCTAACATGTGTACCACTACAGTTTCCTTTACATCACATACTCGGGCGAGAACACCTTCGGCGATTTCGAGACTGCGTAATCCATATCCTCTCTACCGTTTTGTTTTAGACGTTGTTGGCGTTTTGGGATTCATACACAATTACTGGATCAATGAGCGGGTTGGTGGGCTGTGCATCATGTTGTTTCTGCTGGGTTTATATCCTTAGGTTCCGTTTGCTTGAGGAAGGAGAGGGCTTGCTATGACACAAGGGACGATGGGGCTGTGCTGTTAGGGTCTGGACTGAGTGCCGCCTGCAGCCGTATGAAAGCGAAATCCCCCATTTATTGGTTCCCGGCGTGCTTTGGTCTAGAGAGATCATAGTCTTCCGTTTGGTTGCCCGTTCCGCAAATCAATGTTTACCTCTTCATTTTCCATCCCCTTTCTCACCACGCCGGTGACTTTTACCCCTTGTCGAGTCCCTCCACACACGAACCCTGGATGCACGCCCGCAACTGATGGATGACACGAGGCCGGCAGTTCTACACGTGCATATCACGAGGGGGAAGCATGCAGCTTAGAAATACATGATAGGTAGTACACGTGTCCTAGCTGGATATTGTTACACCACTTCCCGTGATCAATGCTGTCTGTATAATGGTTCTTGGTCATGTCTATGGTGTCACGGTTATGGGTCCTCCGTAATTAGATAACATCATGACTTACCTTATCGTATATCCGTTCGGTCAGTTTCATACCAGCTTCACTCTCGGCAAGTTTGCCTCACTGATACAAGGAACTTATGCTGACTGCATGGCCTTGCATTCTTTTGTAAAAGGGCCAAACCCTAGGGCACTCAAAGCTGCATTAAACGGATATACGAGTTGGGTAACTCGTATCCGCGAATCACTTGGTACTTTTCCATCATTTTCCTTCATCTTCAACTTCACATATTGCTGTTCAATTATGCAGGTCGTCAAATCGTCCGCCATCGTATTTTGATACTCATCACTCAAGAAAGCATGATCTGGTTCGTTTGGTCCTAGAGTGATGAAGTAATTAAGGGGCGATGAACGCTGCGCAGTGGGAAACAAAGGGCTGCGTCCATGCGAGTGTGTGAGTGAGTGCGTGAAGAAGTTAAAAGCGAGGAGGATGAATGGTTAACGGTCGTGAATGCGACAGGTCCTGTTTATTCATGTGGAAGGGATTGAATGGGCTGTTTGGGTTGGGTCAGCTCGTTAGGTACTTTACTTGTTGTAATGTATCGCAACTGAGGCATAGAAAGAAGGAAGTGAAGATCATGTTGAGTGTGTAAATTACCGGGTCCCTCTAGATCTATGGAAAAGAAGGGCTAGAGTCATTACGATCGGGACGTAGTAGGACAACCACACCTGGGCTTTACAAGTAAAGAAGGCAGGACTAAGCTTGCCCGGATGATTAAAGAGCATGAAAGTTGATTCCATGTTGTCTACAATGAGCTATCTTCAACAGTGCCTAGGCTATATCTTTCTCAAGGCATCTCTACTTCTTCGTAATTTGTGTTCATAACTTCGTTCACAAAGAGCCAGGTTTTGTACAACTATCCTCCACAAGAAAGAAGGGGAGGGAAAAGAGAAAAAAACAGATCATGGAGAACGAAGAATACACAACAGAACACGAAACAACGAACCAACAACTCACACAGCAAAACAAAGAGAACGAGTTAAAACCAGATAGGTCATCCATGGAGCGTCACAGATTCCGATTTGTCTCACCTCGTAACCGCCAAACTTAGGATTCAGTACGTAGTGACTACATACAGCAATGAAGAAGAAAATCAGACAATTAAGTTGAAATTTGGCATTTGGATATGACACCTACTACTTGGTTGTATCATGTAACTCCGGTCCCCATGATGTGCAGTGTTTGAGCAAGGTAAGATGGAGCGCAAGTGATTGAGTTCAAGTTCACCCGTCATAATTTTATGTGTTAGGTAGAAGCCGTTGTATTGATGTGGAAGCCATATGTAAGAGACAAGAAGCACCGGAGCATTCATATGGTAGCGCTGGGAGATAATCGTGGAAGTCTCCTTTAACTACCTTAACCTCGAATACCATAAAGTCGTGATACAAAATGCGCCTCCTTTCCCCTCTCTCCTCTTATCCTTGGTTCTCGCTCAGTGTTTTCTTTCAAGATACAAGTATCAGAAGCATCGATTAGAGACTGATAAACACGATGACGACAGCAACAAAAACAACAGCCATGTGAAGGGAAAGTGGAAGTTATGTGGTTATGTGGTAATACGCTATGTTATGCGTCTCTGTCGCTTCTCTCTTTCAGAACACCTTTTTTTGCAAATGTCTTCAATTCCTTCCCAACAGTCGGCCGACCACTCTCATAAGACTCCAAATCATTAAAATTAAACGGAAAACGACGACCGCCAACAGGGACCGACCAGAAGACTGGAGGGGGAGTGAGAGCAGTGGAATAATTAGATGGCAGAGACGAGTCAACTGGTTGCCACCAGAGACTGATCCCATACTTCGGACGTGTGTCGTCCCCAATCCCGTGAACCGAGCCTTCACTCCTTCCCTATCGGCATGTCGTTTTCCTTCTTTTCCCTTCTCTTTCCTTTGCCTAAACCAAAAATGAACAGAGACTCTTTCCTGGCACTATATATCAACCCGAGGCAAAATGAAAACGGATAGGTAGTAGGTAGTAGGAATGCGTTGGTTTCTCAAACTTTGGAACCAAATAAAAGAAGAGGAAAAAAAATAAGAAATGGAAACGCGATGTACAAAAAAAGCACGCCTTCCTATCCTTCCTTCGCCTTGCAGAACGCCTACCAGAACGCGTCAAAGAACGCCTGCCTCGAGTGCAAAGGTTATCATATGAACTCGAGCCAAGTATATTCCAGCACCTGCTTCAGCTGACCCTTCCCTCAAACTCTATCCTCTCTGCTCCTCCGTTCCATCCATCTCGATTCCCATATCTTGCCGCCTCTTCCCGTTCGACTCTTCTTCCCACCTCTTGGTGTATCTGTTATCCTAGCCTCCTCTTCATCTTCCGTCAACGGTCCCGCTCCTCTTTTTGATACTCCTCCGTCTCCTCCCATATGCGCTTTGAACTGACGTGATTCCCATGTGAACCAGAAAATGGGGTATATGCAAATGGTCCGATTCCAGAATGAATGCTTTCCCCGGCCCAAATACAAAGTTTAGCCGGATGCAGTCATGTAAAATCCCATGCGTGTGTGAACAGAAAGAAAAAGATCAAAGAAATAGAACCCAGGACTTCCCAGCTATGGATGTCTAAGAAGTCGAGAGGTCTGAACGAGCTCATGTCAAAAAGACCAAGCGAGACGCCAAGACACCAACCGTAAAGAGCTTCTGTTGTTTATTTTATGAAAGGAGAGTCACCCGGCGTCCACAGCTTGGGCAACGAACGCTCCGAGTTCTATCCTTGGTTGTTCTTCATGCGTTTCTGCATCCTCGGCGTTGGAGGATGCTTAGCCTTCACCTGGACGCCGTTCATCTGCGGCATCTGAGGTGTACCGATAGTCGCCGGTGTCGGGGCCGAGGTCGGACCATCATCTTCGAGCTTCGCCTGGGAGGCTCTCCTCTTCTTGTTGTTTTGCTGAGGAGAAGTATTTGCGCTCGGCCCACTGGAGTTGGTGCCTTGCTGGCTGACTTGAAGCTGCATGGCAGGCGCTTGCATCTGGCCGGGAGCCGGGCTGCCCATATGAGGAGACCCAGGAAGCATCTGGTTTGCCATTGCTGGACTGGCACCCATTGGGAACTGGTTATAGCCAGGCGTCCTTGGGACTCCTTGCGGCATCGCCTGGACGTTGACATTGGGAGCTTGACCCCCGATCTGGGTCATATACTGCTCAAGAGCAATATACGGAGAAATTCCGGGATGGCCGTGGGAGAAAGTGAATAAGGGGTTCATTTGGCCTATGATATCGGCCATCTGCAATAAACAACATCGAGTTAGCGTTACATTGTACCTGCAGAACAGTGCGTATTGCAACCACGTACCTCCAGGAACTGAAACACGCCTTCTGGAATTCCCATGCCCATTTTCACGCAAGAGTCCGGGAGCGCAATATCAGGCGGCGGTGTGGCTGGGCTCTTATACGGCCTCTGCTTGCCCTTTTTGCTCATCTCTGGAGACTGCTTGCTGTCGGGCGGATTCAGGGATCTCCACTCCTTGATCCAAGTATGCGAGGGCCGAGCAGCTTCGATAATCGCGCGCCGCGAATGGTACTCCTCGAAATTCTCAACGACAAAATCGAAAAGCTCGATATTTTGGTCGCTGTCGAACTGGATCCGGAGGGTTCCGTTGTGAACGACCTATATCACATCGGTAAGCATGCTGCCACTATATGGGTTCAAGTTAAGGGCTCTCCGACTTACATGCGATCCCTGGTCAAACCAGTAGAAGACACTCGCCTTGGCGATTTCAACGAAATGGCCGTCATGGGGCAACGACCTGTCTGTCGTCCCCTGCATGACCAGCTGCATTTTTGATACGCCACTTTCGAAATGCACATTGAAGAATCGCGGCAAGGCTGCATAGTCAATCTCGTAAGGCTTGGGATCGGCAGCGTCATCTTCACCCTTCTTGAACGTCTGACGGAAGACGCCTTTTTGTGAGAAGAACCGCTGGACAAATTGGTGCCAGTACTTCAAGCCGTCTGCACCTTGGGAACCCTTCATAGCAGCAATGTCAGCAAGAATGGACCTCGCGTTGGAAATAGAGATGCTCAACGCGTAAGCTTACCGTGAATCCATTTAAATGCTCATTGAACAAGTTGAGCTTGAGCAAGCACTGGCCCTTCAAGTTTGCGCTATCCACACGCTTTTGCTGCTGCAACAGATTGGCAACATTGGCTGCTTGGACTTGCTGAGCGAGTTGTTGTTGTTGTTGTTGTTGTCAGAGAGGTTGCAGTCCATGCTATCTGAGGGTCTTGTCAGTGGAAGTTTGTTTCTTATCGTTCTTGTTCAGAGAGGTTGCAGTCCATGCTATCTGAGGGTCTTGTCAGTGGAAGTTTGTTTCTTATCGTTCTTGTCCGTTTTGGGGCAATAGGTGTTGGTATGCTGCTGCGCTTGTGTTGTCTGCGGCGTCTGAGGAGAAACCTGCTGCTGGGCGTTCGGCTGCTGTGTAGGGCCCTGAGCAGGTCCCTGGTTCTGCGCTGGTCCGTTTACCCCTGGGCCTGGCTGAACTTGTGGTTGCTGCTGATTAGGCTGTTGAGGCTGACCCGGCTGTTGTTGAGGTGGCTGTTGAGGCTGTTGGGCCTGCGGTTGTTGCTGTTGCTGCTGTGGCTGCCCGCCCTCTTGTTGCGCCTGGGCCTGGGCCTGGGCCTGGGCCTGAGCTGCCTGAACTGCCGCCGACTGTTGGGCGTGAGTCTGTTGCGTATGAAGAGCGGCCAGCTGAGCCTGCATGGCGACGCCTGGGCCTTGGGGGTTGATCGGGTGCTGGCCGGGGTTGTTTCCCTGTTGGGCCATCTGTTGTTGCTGCTGCTGTTGAAGTTGTTGTTGCTGCTGCTGTTGCTGCATCGCCAACTGCTGGGCTATGAGATTGGGCTATATATACCGTTAGCATCCTCGCAACTTACCACCTTTCGCAACGGGACTCTCGAGCTCTTACATTCATTCCCTGCCCTGCGTGCTGTTGCGCTGCCAGATGCTGTTGCATCTGATGGGTCATTGGCATAGGGCCTCCCATTGCGCGCCTCTGCTGCATTAACTGAGCCACATGAGGATTCATCTGGCCCATACCGGGGACACCCATTGGCATGCCTCCCAGGTTGTTATACTGAGCCTGCTGGGCCATCATCCTTTGGTGTTGCGCCTGTTGCAACTGCTGGAGCCTAACTTGTTGCAACTGTTGCTGCATGGCTTGGTTGTTGGGAACTGGAGATACGTTTTGGTTAGTTTATGGTGTCCAAGCAAGCGACAAGAGGATTATAGGAAAAGGAAGGCAAAACGTACAGGCCATTCCGTTCATCTGCTGTTGGTATGCCACCATCTGCTGGGGGTTCAAATGCTGCATGGCAGCATGGGCGTTGGGAGTGCCGGGCGGCATTCCTCCCATGAGAGCGCCGGCGCTGATCTGGGGGCCGGGGCCGGAGACACCTAGGTGTGCTACCATCTGATGGGTCATGGCGGGGTTTGCGCCGGGTTGGCTGGGGTTGTGGGCCATGCCCGGAGCCATGTGGTGACCGGGAGGAGCTCCCGGATGTTGTTGCATTCCGCCGGGGTGCGGCGAAAAGGAGGGACCCATTGGCATGCTAGCCATCATCTCTTTCCACTGTGCTGTCGACTATCCACAGCGTGGATATCGACGTGACTTCCTCCGCGCTATCGCATACGAAGTGTAACCAGGTTGTTGGTACGGGGGTTGCCGCGAGGGCCGGCAGAGGCGTTGGTCGGTCTGTTTCCTTGTCTGGGCGCGCGCGCGCGTATCACAATGCCGCTTCAATCGGGTGGCGGTCGACGGGCGGTCGAGAGGCAGCTAAATATGGCGTGTGCTGGACAACTGCTGTCGTGTAAGCGTTTTGAGGGTGGCCGGGGATGCGACAGCGACGACGGCGACGACAACAGGCACCGTGTCGGTTCCTTTGATGCGGACCTGGCGATCGGAAAGATCCAGATCACCTCGGACAGGCTTCAAGCTGGGAAGGCGGCGGGAGTGGCAGGTCTTGGTGGTGTGTATGTGCACTCACAGCCAGCGACGGGGGCCTTGTCTGGCGGCGGCGGTCGCGCGACGAGCACCGTGAGCGGAAAGTTGGGGGAGACAGTGGGCAAAGGGTAGATCCAAGTCGGTCGAAAGTCAACCAGGGACCAGTGTTGAGTAAGCACAGAGAGTGCCCCCCGAGCGATCTGACACGCAAGAAGAGACGAAGCGGGCCTGGTCCGGCGGGCTGATAGGTGTACGTTGGTAAATAGGTACCAAAGCGAGCTGAGGTGACCAGAGTGGCAGTGTGAGAGGTAGGCAGGCCAGAGGCTACTATTAGGTATGCCGATGCGGCAATGCACCACAACGAAATAGGTGGTGGAATGAATTAGGAGGATTTCCCGTTGGCGAGGATGGGAAGACTGGAGACTGGAGAAAGAGAGAATAAAGGTGAGCGACAAAGCACACTTGGACCTCCTGCAAGCTGAGATGAGGGATACAACGAGAGCAACGACGTGTCGTGGACTTGTCGGAGTCGGAGGTGGATTGAGGTTTGGGGATGATTGGGAAGGGTAAGGTTGTGTGGATCTCCCGTCCGTCGACTCTGGGCTGCTGCTTGACTGGGAGTTTTTATGGGACTGGCGAGGTATGGGAGTCAGGGAGTCTGGGACCTGGACCTGGGCAGACGGGAGTCCCGTCAAAAAGAGTTGGAGTTGTTTCTGGGGCTCTTGGTTGGTTTCGACCGGTCGGGGGTCCTTGGCGGGCAAGCTGGATGAGGCAGCTGTGGACCCCGGGGGTACAAAGAAGGAGGGTATCTGTTGGGGTTCTGATGACCGACCGGTGATGACGGGCGGAGAAGAGAGTCTTTTTCGCTGAAAACTTGTCACTTCATTTTTCCTGTCGGATTAGATTTTCCATTGAGAAGTTTGGTATTATCTGAGATTCGAACTGAACCGAGCTCGTTAAATATCTTTCTGTGTTAGGTCAACACTGCACTGCACTGCACTGCACTGCACTGGATGCTGCAGATAATCACGGGAGCTCAGTTTTGTACAAGAAATGAGCTTCTATCTGATGACTTTCCACGCACGAGCAGCGTTATTTTGTCTAGATCTCGAAACCGCATACTATTGAAATCGAGAATCGTTGTCCCAATGATTTACAAATGTTAAACATCTTCATGTGATAGTCGCCAGACACCCTCGAGAACAGCTTGAACCCTTTCACGGAATATTTCTCATTATTCAACGAACGCCTAATCTTCATCACATACCAAGGTGTCAAACTTGGGTCTTTCAACCAACAGCAGAGAGTTGTTGCCCGTGCTCCGTGCACTAAGCCATCCTCAATATCCTCATGCATCCACGGAAATCACCACCCGAATTACCGATTCCGGCCCCAGGCGCAGAGAAACTTTTTCATGGCACTTGGTAATTACAAGCAACTGACGAAGGAGAAGAAGTAGGTAGTTTTGGACAAGGCGGATTTTCAAAGAGGCGCCAACCGAATGCTGAACTCACGGAGAAGCGACGTTGAAAGAGCGGGCTTGCAACAGCCTTTAAACTGAGACCAAAAACCCTAACCCTGCTACGTCTGAGAAGCTAAAAAACTGAAAAGGGGGTGTCGGCGGTTGGTCCAGGCGCGATACCACACCCTGTGAAGCGTGAGGTCCCCTCGTACATGGAACCTAAGGAGTGAACACTACTGGTGATATAGGTAGAGAGAAGTTAAGATACATACACGATAAGAGCTTTAGAAACGGATGTCTTTTTTAAGTTGGCTGACCAAAAGACTGCCTGGGACTGACATAACTCAAAACATTGCTGTCCAGCCCCCTTCCATCTTAGTTGTTCCCGGCTCAACGAACAGTGCAGTGGTCCCGGCTCTTGCTGCGATGGCGGTGGCCGGCGATGGCTGATGATTGATGGCTGATGGGCACCGGCCCGTTGGTGGGCCCTTGCAGCGGGCGAGTTGATAAGAGGTGGAACCAAACATCACGTGTGTCTCCACGTGTCTGTGTTCTGCGCGCTTCCATTCTGTCTCCCGCCTGGAACTCACCGACCCCACCTAAATTTTCGTTATCGTTATCGGTTCCCGCGCAGGAGTATTTGAACTCTCCATTTGTCGCCAACGCAACCTTATTTTTTCTTCCCTTCCTCAGAAACCAACAATCGCAAGCGCCGCGATTCTCTCGAGCTCACGCATTCCTTCGATTGTTACGCCGGGTGCGCAATGATTTAATGTCTGCCGAGCTGGCAGGAACCGCTTCATTGCGTGTTCATATATCTGCCCGCAGCATCTTGCTTCTTCTTGGAGGCAAGGCTGTGCGACATCCTGTCAAATCTTCCACACGCGATCACAGCATTCACGGTAGGTCAACGACAACTGCCATGGCAATCAACGAGGTAAGCTTCAACTCCCCATTTCTTCCACTCACACTATCACCTTTCGCACAATTCCCAGCATCCGCTTTCGGATGATGATAACTTCAGAAACTTCTTTCCATGCTGAATCGACCATGAACGACCACTGCTCTGTTTCGGGCTTCCTCCTACGGGAGTCGGCCTGTTGCTTGCCAGTAATATTTTCTGACTGAAGCGGATTGCACTTATTCATATTTCATCAATCCCTTACCCACGCGCGTATCCACAGCAGTTTTCGCAAACATTCTTGCTGACTCTACCGCAGACCGAAACAGAATCTTCTCGAGCCTGGCTCTCTGCATACATAAAGGTGTTTTCGTGTCCTTCCGTTGCTTCTGCTTTCTCTTCCTGAGACAGACAACACGTGTGACGACTAACCACGACAGTTGGATCATAACACAACTTCATCAAAAGGTTAGTTCACACTTTGTGAAGCTTGCACACATAACACCCCCCGATCCTTATGATGAAGATTTCCTACATTCGCAGTTTCCACTCGAGACCCCACCTACGAGCCTTTCTCGGGGTCAGATGAGGGCGAAGTCTTCCTTGGATGTCTGATTGGATCATAGAGCACTTGTTGTTTTGAGCAGTCTTTTGTCTTGCGAGCATCAGCTAACAGATCCAAAGTACAGAACATCTACCATAAATCAAAACATCATTAGATAGACCAATGAAACGTTCAGATACAATTTTGCTTCCTCTTCTCCCAAGTGACCAAATGTCCGCACAATTGTTTTTGCCAGCAGACGCGCTTCACGGCGTGTCGAATCGACATTCACATCATCTTCCCATGGATATGAATGTTTTCGCTCTGGCATAGAGAAATCACTTTTCGACCCATTGCTGGGCACCCACGTTGAGAGATCATTCTGATGTCAAAGATATGTGGGAATCAGTGGAGGTCACATCTTTTCGTCCTGGAGGGCTTTCATTAGATAGAAAAATAAATTGATCATTAAAAACACTGCTGCCTCATCATTCCTCTGGTGATCAATATGGTAAAGTTGCTTCTACGGCGATGTGTAGCGACACAGATTTCTGAAGGTCGTGCGTTGGTATCATGCTTCCATCACAAGCCTGTTTCGATCTTGAACCTTAGGTATCTAAGCTCAATCGGTCAGATCATAACTTTTCAAAGAGCGAACTGAACTTATCATCCAGACCTCCAACCATCCACGATGGGCATATGTAGTGTGCTGGCTCTTTTTTTGCTGGAGATGACTGTTGCCTGTTCCACGACCGTCAAGGATGCCATGCTATCCAACACCAACAGCAACCGACTGACCGAGTGATTTCTCCCAACCTACCTATCTATGATCCTACGAGACATCGACCGACATTCTCATTCACGGAGACGCCAACAACAAACATCCTTCTTCACCCATCCATTGACCTTGAATACCAAGTGCACCATCATCTTTCATCAAAACCAAAGCAGACCAAGGCAGAACAGAAGAAATATTATGTACATGTATATAGATGTTTGCGTGATACCTAAGAAATGTAAATGCCCAAAAAACCGATCTACCTAGAAGCCCAGATTTCGCCGTACCAACTCCGTCGTCCTTCTTCCATTAACTAACCCTCGTGTCGATTATTTTACTTCTTATAAAGCAAAGAAGAGAAAATCTCGTCATATTTCTCAGGGTATCTGACTCGACTTAGTCCGCTTGTTTTTTTTTCATTTTTTTTTTTTTCATTTCTCGTTCCTACTTTCCATTCCCCATCCCAAAGCCAAGCGCCCATCTCTCCAAAGGTTTGGTCACCATCCACTAATTGTCGACCATAACCTCCGAGTTCGAATTTGATGATGATGATCCGGCACCGGGGCCACCACTTACACCAGGAGCGGCGGGCCCAACAGTAGTAGGGGGACCAGGCATAGCGGCGCCGGCACCGATAGTGCCAGCTCCACCAGCCATGCCAGCCCCAGCTCCAGTCATGGCACTACCAGCAGGCGCAAGAGCAGCTCCAGCTCCAACGGTACCAGCACCACCAGCAGCAAGGGTAGTAGGGGGACTACTCATCCCCCCACTTGCTGTTGTGCTACCTGTCCCAACACCAGAGGAGGTAGAGGTAGTACCCAGTCCTAAACCCGTCCCTCCCATCGCTATTCCTCCTCCTCTATGTGTTGTATCCCTATCAGCCTGCCCTTGCAGTCCACCCCCAAACCCACTGCCCACAGTCCCAATACTCATACTCCCCATCGTACCCAGACTATTCATGCTCACACCCGCCGGTCCGGTCCCTAACGACGAGCCTGCATATCCCCCTCCGTGACCATGACCAGAATAACCGCCGTAGGACGAGGCGTAGCCCATGCCCATTCCAGAGCCCGAGCCAGCGCCCATAGAAAACGCCAAAGCAGACCCGGACCCAGACCCGGCTCCAGCACGTTTAACTCTTCCACCTACTATTCCCCGTCTGTTACGACCGGTTCGGCCACGGCCGAGCCAGTTCAGCTTGAGGAGTTTGTTGAGTTCTTCGATCATGCGGGAGGATTCATCTGGTGGTCCACCTCCGTTCGCATTTGCGGAGATACCACCGGCGGTAGTAGCGGCGATGGTCGTCGCGGAATCTCGAGGGGCGGTACCAGTGGGTGTGTTGGGCACACTATCTCTGCCAAAACCATTATCTCTACTTCCAAACCCAGCCAAGCTTGCACTCAAACTCGATATCGACGGGCGAGGCGGTAGTGGCCCAGGGCTGTTAGCTGTTGGTGTAGCCGGCGATGAAGGAGACGAAAACTGCGAGGGCGAGGACATAGTTTGTACCAGGGGCGGTAAGCCGCCGGCTGCGGACGACCCAGAAGGAGAGGCGGGGACGGTAGCGTTGGTCATGGTTGTTGTTGCTACTGAGGTTTGCGAGGAGGAGTAGGTGTTATGGAAAGAAAGGTTGGTAGTGGAGGCGCGGGGGTTTTGTCCTAAGGATGTAGAAGATGACGAGAAGTTTGAAGGAGTGGTGGGTGCGGAAACGGAGGCTAGGACGGACATGCATTGGAGCATGCGGCCGACCATTTCCGTGACTTGCTTGGAGTCTTCGACGTTTTGGTCAGCGGTTCTTCCACCCGTAGGGTCGCGGAGACTGCCATGGATGGAGTTGCTTCCTATGCTGGTTATGCTCGGCGCCACGTGCGGTGGGAATTGTTGTACGGGTGGGGACATGTTGAGGTTGAGGTTCGCGATGCCAACGCCGCTGGGGGTGGACATGGCGGCTTGGGCGGAGGCGGCGCCGAGGGCTTGGATGCTGCTTGGAGTGAAAGGACGGTTGCCGTTGCCGTGGTCGCTACCGAAGCTGACGTTACTAATGGTTCGCGAACGGTTACCGCTTCCCGGAGTGGTATCGCCGCCGCCGGTGCCCATGCCCATGCCGTTGCTGCTATAGCTTGCGTAAGAGGGATCGATAGCGCCAACAGGGTTGGACATGGAGGTGTTCGGCCGTGGAGGGGCAGCACCGAAGCCGGCGCCCATGCCTAATGTCATTGTTGCTGGGAGACTACCAGCGAAGGACATCGAAAGCTGCGACTCTTGCGAGGGCGAGGTCGAGAGCGCGGACTGATAGACACTGCCTTGGTTATGAGCCATGTTTTGAAACCCAGAAGTGGGAACGGGGACCGGAGAGGAGAGGGCCATGTTGGCCAGGTTCTGCGGTAGGAACTCGAGCGAGAGGCGCGAGAACATGATCTTTAGTGTGTCGTAGCGAGGAATAATAACGATATCTCGGAAGGAAAGGAGAACCAGTCTTCGTATGTCAAGGACAGATGAGGCCGGTATGCTGACGCCGAAACTAGCTGGGACACCACCCCAGAAATCACGGGCCTGGTCTGGTGTCATCAAGGGCCCGTTGCCGGCAAATTCCATGTCCAACGGTAGAAAGACGGCTTGCAGATACGGTAGGATACTGGTAAATGTGAAGATCCAAAGCTCGACAAGGGCAGGAATCAGCCGGTCTTCCTGCGTCTTCTTCAGACTCTGGTCAAGACTCGAGAACCCCGTGGTGAGAAAGTCCCGGATGTCCTCAATAATGATATTTGGACTGCGCCGCGTTATGCAGTACTGGATATGCATCGTCACAATACGATTTAGATCCTCTACAGGGAGACGAAGGTCCTCGGCCTCAAAGATGACAAGCAGCTTGGCCCTGAGAAACGGCCAGGCGTCATCGAGGGTCATATTGTTGAGCCCGAACTTTTGGCTGTCAAACGGCTCATTGTGGAAGAGGGCTGAAGCCAGAGTGCCACTGGCAGAGCTCACGCTACTTGGACCAGGCCAGTCGCCTCCAGGGTTGTAGCTCGAGGCCGCGTCGTCAAGGCTTTTGTCCTCCTTGTTCTTCTTCTCGCGCAGTGCACGACCGCCGTGTCGCAAATCAAGACCGGATTTAAACGCATTGCTGCCTGGACCTGGACTTGCTGGCAAGTTGAAGTTGTACAAACTGCTGGGAGCCGTAGGGTCTGTAGGTCTGGAGTTACTCGAAGCTGACGACAGCGGTAGGTGATATGCCTCTATCAGCTTTTCCTTTTGTCGTTTCAAGAAATGCCCATGCTTCTTCTCCTTCTCTTTCACTTCCTTCTCCGTAGCTTCGGCTGGCCGTATCGTGGCGGTTGAGGAGTTGCCATGGGCGTAGAATGGCTGCATAGTCGATTCGAGACTCGTAGTGCTGAAGTTGGCCCGTTGTAGGTTCGAAAAGGCATGTCCTAGCTTTCCGGGACTAGGCAGTGGTTTATCCTTGGATGATTCCCCCTTCGAGCTGGACTTGCCAGGGCGTGAAAACAGCTTGACCTTGCTCTTTTCCGACTTGACGACGGGTTTCTCGGCGACGACAGGCGGTGGAGTGGGTGTCAAGGGGTTCGTCGACTGGGTGGGCAGTTTGGGCGACGATTGCGCCGATCGCGGGAACACCACGTTCGCGGCCGCCGTAGCAGCAAGGGTATGGTTTCCGGGGAGGCCGTTGTGATAGCCTTGACTTCCAAACACGTTATCCCTCGGCGCGCTCGCCTCTGTCAAGCTCAACATCGGAGGGCTCATTGGACCGCCGCTTATGCGCTTGTTCGCGACCGAAGTCTGTTCATTATGCTCGGTTGATGGAGGTATCGTTTGCGACCGCTGACGGTGTTGTAGATGAAGGAGGTGTTGATGCGCATACGTCGGTGCCTGTTGCTGCTGCTGCTGCTGCTGTTGTTGCTGCTGTTGCTGGATAAGCTGCGACTTGGAGACGGCTGCCTGCGCAGCAATGTGGCTGGCGGACATGTCTCGTTGCGCCGTCGGGCCGAGTTTGGGCGAGTCGGCTTGGAACTGACCAAGGTTGGAGGTGCTCGTCGAGGGCAGGGTAGGCTCGAACAGGCCCGCGTTCGCCGAGTGTTTGCGCGAGTGTGCGCCTACCCTGCCGGCGAAGGAAGTGGGCGTGGAGGACGTTGTTGCGCTGGTCGGCGGGAGGGTCAGGGGAGAGGGCCCGTTTCGGGGGGCCGTATCGATCGGGGAATGTGTCCCGGCGACGGAGCGGGCGGCGGCGGCGGACAGGGCGGCGGTGTTTGATAGGGTGGGTCGCGAGAAGTTGGTCTGGAGACTCGGGGTGGTGGCGCTGTTGGCCTGGGAGGTGAAGCTGCTGTAGATAGGAGTCGCGGATGATTCGCGGCCGGGGGTTGGTGTTGGTGTTGTTCCTCCTCCTACTCCTCGTCGTTCGGGTGATGCTCCTCCTGCTGGCCTTCCTCCAAATCCTGATGCGCCTAGACCTCCTCCCGGCTGGGGCGACGGGGCGGTAGACTGGTTGGCTGAGCGAGGGATGGTCAATGGCGTGAGGTCGTCGTTGCTGGAGGTGGAGGCTGAGATCATGCGCACCGGACCCGGAGACGGACGATGGGGACGGACTATACCATCCGCATTAACACCTCCAGTGGAGTTAGTGATGGCCGGCAGCGGTGAGAAGCTCCCTGGAGCCCTCTGCGTGGGTCCCGGGGTGCCTCTTGTGGATTGCATTGTTGACTGCTGCAGCTCATTCAGTGGTGCTTTCAGTTCCCTTCTCAATGCTCCCGTTCTGTTGGTCCTCCTATCGTGTTTTGTGATGGATCATCCGTCGTTTACTGAATGGCCTGGTTTCGGATGGGGGTTCTTTCACATCTTGCTAACCCGGATATCTATAAAAGAAGCCCATCAGTTATGTATTGGGATTTGTTGATATCGGTGGTCAAGCCATTGAACATGTGAATAGTGGACGAAAAGTATGCGACAAGTAGATGTAATTGCTGAAATGTCCAAAAAGAGAATGGGAAAGTCTGAGGTAGATAAAAGATTGGAAAAGGGAACATGCATTGTAAGAAAAGTATGATTGCGTACGACATCACAAGCGCTGATCCCCGTTCCCATCGGCCATGTTTGGGGCTCCCTTTCACCTCACTTCTCTTTCCATTCCAAGCATTCCACGGCACCTTGCTCCGAGCCTCGATTTTCTCCTCATTCCCACTTCCCACTTCCAGTGTGCTTACCTAGAGCCTAGTCATCAAACCTTCCTCTTGCAGAACCAACGGGGTTTGTTTGATGCTTGGCAGGCAGAGTCAGGGGCTAGATCGCCCTAAATTGTTCCTCACGAAATCACGATGGAACGCTTTTGGTGGGGATGACTTAATGCCCCGCAGTTAACGTCAGTGGGGGTGCCATAGGGCGGCAGTCTCGCGAACGTGCATTGGGTGCATTCAGTGGACACTTTTGATGAGATGCATTTTGAGGTTTGCTTTTCACATCGATGGGCTACGGTACCGTAGGTGAGAATCTGATCTCGATAAAAATAAAAACAACCTCGTCATTGGAAGATCAGATTACTGGAAAAAGCCTGTTGTACGTATAAATATTCTAACAGTCTAGCATCATGACATTGTTAACAAGGAGATCAGTCAAATACCACCAAGAACATCATTTTACTCGCGCCTTTCACAAGTACTTCACTCAAAACTCTCATCAACAAAACGAGACAACCATACTCAAACAACACAACATCTAAAAATGGCGCCCTCGACCACCTTCACAGCAACCTACACAAACTCCTCCTCCCTCTCTCCCTCCGCCCCCTTCACCCTCACCAAAAATGTCCCTACCACTTCAACCTCAACCTCATCATCACCAATGAGCACCTCCGACCGCGCCAAATACCTGCACTCCCTCCGTCAAATCGCCGCCACTTTCCAAGACGACATCAACCGGGAACTCACCCAAAGAATGGAGGAGGACAACAAGCGTGCGGCTGCGGCTTCTGGTGGAAAGAGTAAAGCGGAGGAAAAGGCGGCTAAGGAGGAGGAGAATTACGGGGAGGAGGTTGTTGAGGAGGATGAGTAGGTGCTGAACTGGAAAAGAGAACATTTTGGGAGGGTTAAGTGAAAGGGAAGGAGAAAGGATAGGTTATTGGAGTCAATGACCTCAAATGATTTGAGACTGACCACTCAATTATGGGGACTCAAAATGGAGCGTCGTGCACTTCATTTGCGTCTTGGCTTCGCAACATTCCGCATCAAATACGATTATGGTGGTCTATCTGAATGTGTGAAATGGACTTTTGGCTGAGGAAGACAAAAAGCTCCGTATACAGGAAGGACATAGTCTTGTCTGTTTTTTCTCATTAGGTTGAGGAAATCTTCAAAGTCAACTACGCGGGCGTCCCGGCTCTACGACTGTACGTATTGATGGTGTTATATCAGCCTTCTTCAAACTTGGTTCGGTGTGATGGGACGCCATCTCAACGAACAGGTGACTACGAGGATAACAAGATGAAGGTAGTCAGTGCAGGGGAACTTATCGCTGTGCTTTTTGATGAACAGTACAAGTACCGTACATACTATTCCCTGGGTGAGTATGCTGTGATGCTAATAAAGCATAGAACAAAGTATACCGGCAACCAACGGACGCCGTACACTGGACTTTTCCCGACTCGAACATACAAGATGCCAAACCAATAATCCATTCCAATTCATATAATAAACCTAAAACAATCATCACTCATACCCATACCCATACCCATACCCATACCCATATTCATATTCATAAAAACTGCCTAAACCCATCACCATCACCATCACCGCCGGCTACAACCTACCCCCTCCCCCAAGCCCCATACTGCGTCGTCGTCCCCCCGCTCACACCACTCTTCACACTCCCCGTTGTCGTCATCCCACCACCCGGACTCATCACCTCCCCACCGACACCGACACCGGCAATTCCCGTCCCCGTCCCCAAGCCCTTTCCATGTTGTGACCTCCCCAAACACCCATAATGAACAACCGCATCCTCCCCACCGGGCAACACCGCCACCACGCTTCCACCAAGTCGTTTATGACAAACCCCACAGACTCTCTCCTCCCCAATCACCACCCGTCTATTCCTTCCTCCCACCCTGGTATTTCCACCCGACAACCCCGCCGCTCCCCTTGGTAACCCATCGCCCAGCAACAGCAGAGCCTGGCTCGTGACCAGTCCCGTTTTGCGTAGTCCGGCGACGACGAGGGTTTCATTGACGATGCTGTTGGCGTTGCGCATGCGCCCGCGAAAGTAGCCCTCGAGCTCGGAGACGGGCAGGTCGTCTGGGATCAGAGAGAGGGTGGAGGTGGCGGGCAGGCGGGAGCCGTGTTTGGACAAGAGGTCGAGGGCCGGAGGCAGGTTGGGTTTGTGAGGGGAGGGAGGGGTCAGGTAGAGGGAGAGGAGGGTGTGGTAGATGGAAGGGTGGGCTTCGTCCTGGGAAGGGTCTTCGGTGGAGGTGGAGGGCGAGGTGATGTTGGTTGTCCCGGGTGGGTGAGAGGGGGAGGTAGGGAGAGGGTGTTCGGAGGATTTGTGGATGCGGTTGCAGTATCTTTTTTTGAAAGGGTTGAGATTAGTGTGGGTTAGGACAGGATGGGGGGAGAGGAAATGGATGGGTGGCTTACTCTTCTGCTTTCTTGTAGTCTTTCATTTGGAAGACGTAGATCTCCAGGGCTTGTTTGTGTTGACCCATGTTACTGAGGACAACGGCTCGGGCTTCGTAGAAACGTGAGTCGTCTCGAGGAATGAGACTGAAGGCTCTTCCGAGGCTGTACTGCCGACTGTCCTTCAAGAACTGAACCAACCGCTCCATGAGCGAGTCCCATTCTTCCTCCTCACCTGGTTTCTTCTCCTCCCTGAGCTGTCTAATAAACAACTCGACAAGGCGGTTGTGAAACTCAGGCGTCATATCATTCAGCTCGGAGATGATATGTTCCAGGTATTGGATCTCCAAGGCCGTGTCGATGCCACCCAAAAAGTGGAGGACCCGCGCTCTTGGAAGAGTCTCTGCATTCTCCGAGTCGGCAAGGAAGACCTCCATTCCTAGCCTGGGGTCTTTCCTCAACGTCCACTCGGAAAATTCAAGAATGATGTCGATCAGCTCGGGCGGCAGACCTTGAAGATAGAGGACCGTCCTTTGAGGACCATGCAAGGTAGGCGCCGCCTCGTCAGGCTCGTCCGGCGAGCCAAACTTGCGAAGCAAATCGAGTGCCTGACGATGTAGCTTCTTGCCGTAAAAGAAGTCTACCAGCTCGTTGAACCGATTGTGCTCTACGAGCCTCTCGTTAACCACCTGTGGGTCGCAGAAGTTGGGGATTCTGAAAAGGGAGCTGGCCAACGTCGGACGGGAATACATAAATGCGCGGAAGAGAGTGGTGTCAACGACTCTGAAAGTTTCCTGGAGATCTTTTTCAAGTTGTTCGTCATCCTCATCCTTATGAGACATTAGTAGTGTCTTGAAAGCTTCCTCCGTGGCTCCGTTCGAGGACTTGCGCGGCTTCAGCTTTCCGGTGGCTGGATCGATAACTCTCTGAAGTCTCGCTCTTGCTCCAGCCAAGTAGCTGTTCAGCTCTGAGACGGCTGTCATAAGATCCTTTTCATCTTGAGCGCGTTGGTCCTCGGCTGCCTTGCTCCTGATGCTAGCCGCGTCATCATCGACTGGGCCCCTTCTGGAGGAGACAATCGATGATGTCTCTGGATCAAACTTCTTGCGACCGTGACCCATGAGGTACTTGGCAAACCCACTGCCTTTTTGTGGCGACGATACTTCAAAATGCGGCTCATCCTCCTTGGACGCCTGATCTCCATTTGCCTTGCCATTAGGGGCCCCTTCATTGTCTGAGTCTTCCTGCGGCTCTTCAGGCTTCTTCTCGTCGACACCCAGCTCTCCAACAATAATCTTGGGGAAGAGCCTTAGTACCCTCTCGGGTGGAGCATGGACCTCGTCTTCATTGAACAGATCCATTGACTCGCGGAATTTCCTTTGGCGGAAGAGCAGTTCGGCCTTAAGCATTTTCACTTCGCGCATAGTCTCGGTTTTGTTTTTGAGAAGCGCATCCTCCAACATGGCCAAGATGCTAATGGCTTCATCATACCTCTGGGTCTTTACCAGCTCGTCGATCTGGGAGTCGTAGTCCGTGGCATCCATCTTCCACACCACTCTCTCGCTCAGGACATGGAAGCCTTTTCCGGCATGCGCCAGGCTGACCGTAGGTGGTGGGAAATGCAGAGAAGCGGCCCCTGGTAGACTGATAGTCTGGAGAAGGTTCAATGTGTCCGGATTTCGTACTTCCAGACTGCCCTTGGTCGGTGATTGCAAGGCAAGGATATAAGGGTAACTATATCCAATGCTTTCAGGAGCGGCTTGCCAGGGAATCTGGCGCTTCTCCAACGCCTTCCCGGCGTCATTGATAAATAACGTGTTGATATCTTTGGCGAGCAATAGCTGGCCCTCGGCGAGCTTTGCTGATAGAGGCTTGGGTGTAAAGTTGCCCAGCCCCATGTATCCCATACTGGCTGTAGCACCAAAGCGACTCTGTCCTCCCGCCGCCCCGATAGCCCCGGGACCAACAATATCCTCCATATGACCGGTTGTAACATCGACTATTTGGTAGCCACCGTTCATGCCGCAGACCACCTTGTTCGCGTTGGCCCATGTGAGGGACCGGATTGCCTCGGAAAGGACTATTTCGGTGACATCGGGGGAGAGCTCGCTCTCGTGCCATGACCACAACAGCAAGCGGCGCTTTACAGCAACAGCCAGACGCGATATAATCTCGGGTATTCCGGTGTCAGGATCCTTGACAATATTGCTTGTGACGGCGAAGGTGGAAGCGCTCTTGGTTCGGGCTGTGGGAAACTCGATCGGTTCGAAGGTCTGGAGGTCGTGAAGAGCAACACCGTTGTAGTTGGACAGAGATATTATGGTGTTGGCTTCCTTGATTATGGCGAGTTGTTCGATAGCGCGCGTCGAGAACTTTTCTACCTCGCGAAGGAGGTCGGTGGGCTTGGGTCCTATCGGCGCGGCTTGGGCATTTAGAAAGCCTGGCCCGGTATTCTGGTGGTAGTCTTGAGTCGTTGAAGATCCATTTTGGTCTTGGGTAGTCGTCGATTCGGTGGCTTCGCTCGACTGTTGGGACGATGTTCCGTTCGCGGACTGGCTCGATGATGGTGGTGGAGGGGCAGCAGGTGGAAGCTCGTTTACACGGTATATCCTGAGTGATCCCGTATTCAACCCGACAAGGACGCGATCACCGTAGGCGAGGATAGACTCGATCTTGGATTTGTCTCTCTGCTTGAGCTCGATGATGGGTCGAGCCGTAAATGCGGAGAGCATGGCGAACGGGCCAGCTGCTCCCTGGTTGCAGCAGTGATCACAGGGCGGCGGTTATGAACGCATTAGAGGAGAATAATGTCGAGCAACGCGGGCGCAAGTTGGTGATGTTTGTACAGTCTCGTCTTCGGGTCTCTTGAATTATTCCGATATCGTCTGGTGTTATCGCAACCGAGTGGGTGTGGTGGAGGATGACGGCATGGCGATTGGCATGGGATGCGCCCAGGCAGTGGTGATACCGAATGGTCAGGCGCCGCGTTCAAGGGTCGAGGCTGCCCACAAGTCCACACTGCCAGCACTACAGTGACCCCACGGTAGGGTGGGCTCGATAGGTACAGTAGCGGCATCTTTTGAGATTTAGGGTTAGGGGTACAGGAGTGTGAGTTCTTGGCCTTGGCCTTCCTTGCACTACCCAAGACATGGAGAATTGAAATGTCAACAATTACGTACAGGAAGCTCTTTTTCTCCTTGGCCTATTCCCCTATCTTTTCTGCAACGTGTTTGAATGAAGAGACCTGCAAAGTGATGATCGTGTCTAGATACTCTGGTGTTTTCATTTTTGGTGTTTTTGAACAGTTCTGTCTACGATGATGTACGACCGTCAAGGTTCTCGAATCAAACAACAACCCGATGCGGAGAGTTCCGAATGGAATCTCTCCTGCTGTATTGTTACGAGCCGTTACAAGCTGTGAAATGATACCTCTTGGAGACTCGGACAACTCCCCTCAAAGTCATGAGATTCTACGCAGTGTATCATGTTCGGCCGTTTTTGGAGAAAGACAGTTATACAATTTTCTGAAAATAACAGTCTGTTTGATATGATAGTCTTACAAACCCAACTGGTTCAAGTATTCGTCGGGACAGTTTTGTTTCATCTTTTCCACTTGTCAATTGACAACACACTGGCTGCAAGACGGGATATCCTACTGCTGCCCGATGAAAGCACGTAATCAAAGATTCTGTACAGATTATACATGATGCTGCTGCCCCAAACTCATGCATCCAACTCGGGTATTGTGTAGAGGGCTCGCCCTCCCCAGCAGGACTCCACCCGATCCGCTGTAAGATAGTGGAGTGGCTGCAGCATTGACGGGCGCAATTGGTTGCAAATGGCCCATCTCGTCAGCGACAGAACACCTCCCTCTTTACTAGTCTTGAACGATTCCAAGGAATGATGCACTTGAGTTGTTGGTGACCGTGACCGTCTTTGTTTCATACATACAGGTAGATTTCAATTTTGCCTTTCCTATTCTTGGGTAAGGCAGAATAATTATTGTTGCCCACCATAGCTTCTTTAACCGAGTCTGGAAGCCCGTCCTCCTCTAGTTCTAGACCTGTTCAAGTCCACCACAATCTGCTGTCCCACGACGAGAACGACGACGGGAACCCGAACAACAAGGCGAAACAACAACCGCCACTCGGAACAATATCCACGTCAGTTGCTGGAGACTGGAACACTACCAAGGACAGGGGAGGGAGGACAAGAGGAAGATCTGGAAAAGACCAACACCATCATCCCGCAGCAGCGTCCTTCTTTTTTTGTCTCCGAGTCTGCGCAACCACCCAAAACACAACACGACCAAGGCGGATTCGAGCTCCAAGACTACCCGCAACCCAAACAGCCTCGCACAGCTGACGACACAGCTGACACCAATCAACAACGCAACCTCAACCCATCCCGTGACCGCGCCGCGCGCAGGGAAGAAAAGAAGGCCAGGAAGCGCTGCTGGCTCGAGGCACAGGACGACATGAAGTTCTCCCACAGCATCCAGTTCAATGCGGTGCCGGACTGGAGCACGCATTACATCGCATACAGCAACCTCAAGAAGCTGTAAGATACCTTACCCGCCCGGCCTGCCCGTGGCTTATCTCCGCCTGCCTTGCTCAGTCAGCCAGTTAACTAACGTAAAACCACATAGCATCTACCAGCTTGAAAAGGTTGTCCACCTGTCATCTGGCGGAGACGGCGAGTCGCGCCCGCTAATCCAACATGAAGACCCCGAAGTCGTCTTCATTCGTGCCCTGGATGTCGAGCTGGAAAAGGTCTTGTCCTTCTACTCCGTCAAAGAAAGGGAGCTGTTTGAAGAGGTACAGAACCTCTTGCGCGACGTCGGCGCATTCGAGGAGGAGGCCGGTGACACCGACCAAGAGCGCGAGCTCCGTCCCCCCACACGCGGGAGCGAACAACAACAACAACAGAGACCTTTCCGAACCCGGAGCGAAAGCCTGCCGAGCCGGACCTCGACCGACGATGGCACCAACAGCGACAACAGTGACGATGAGAACACCGGCCTGAACAAGCCTGCCAGAAAGAGGCGGTTAAGCTTGGGGAGGAGAAAAACAAGCACCAGTGTTCCTGGACATATGATGTCCTCCATCGGCGACATGACCGCCTCTACAGAGATGACCAGGTCTCGCAGATATAGCACTACCTACGACGATGACTATGCCGAGCAGGCTGCCTTGTTCTCCTCGGGTATCATGCTCAAGAAGAGGATCATCAACCTCTACGTCCAGCTGTGCGAGCTCAAGTCATACATCCAGCTGAACAGGACGGGCTTTAGCAAGGTCCTCAAGAAGTTCGACAAGATCATCGACAGACAGTTGCGGTCCAAGTACATGGACACCTTTGTCGATACTGCATATCCCTTCCGTCCAGAGACAACCAAGGGCTTGGAAGAACAGATTCACCTGACGGTCCGCGCATATACGGATATTGTCACCAAGGGTGACGAGGAGGCGGCCACGCGCGATTTGCGATCGCACCTAAGAGAGCACGTCGTCTGGGAACGAAATACGGTCTGGAGAGAACTGATCGGTATGGAGCGGCGCGCTGAAGCCGCAAGTCTGGGACATACTCTTCTTGGGCGAGATGCCGATCCAACGAGCCACCGCCTTCAGGGCGACGATGAGCTGGTGTTGCCGACCAAGGAAATCGCAACACCGCTTGGCCACTTCAGACTACCTGCTTGGCTAGTCAGCTCAACTCTGATGACCCTCATCATCATCTTTGCCATCTTCTTCGCCCTGCTCTTCCTTCCTGTTATGAAGAAGCCCGAGCAACAAAATTGCCTTGCGTTACTGGTGTTTGTCAGTTTGCTTTGGGCTACCGAGGCCATCCCCCCTTTTCGTCACCTCGCTCACCATTCCTTTCCTCTGCGTCGTCCTTCGAGTCTTCCGCGACGCCGACAAGCCCCATCACAGACTGGGTGCCAAGGCGGCCACCGATGCTGTCTTCTCGGCCATGTGGACTCCTGTCATCATGCTTCTGCTTGGTGGCTTCACTCTCGCAGCCGCTCTCTCCAAGTGCAGCATCGACAAGCGGATAGCAACCTTCGTCCTCAGCAAGGCAGGAACAAAACCCAGGACGGTTCTCATCGCCAACATGGCCGTGGCTGCGGTAGCTAGCATGCTAATCAGCAATGTCGCCGCTCCAGTCCTCTGCTTTGGTATCATCGAGCCCATGCTTCGCAACCTCCCCGCCGGTTCCAACATGTCCAAGGCCGTCATCATGGGCATCGCCCTCGCCTCTAACGTAGGTGGCATGCTTTCACCCATCGCTTCTCCTCAGAACGTCGTCGCCATCGGCCTGATGGAACCCCCTCCTACCTGGGGCGAGTGGTTCTTCATCGTCATCCCCGTCGGCATCATCTCCCTGCTTCTCATCTGGGCTCTCCTGCTCCTCACCTTCCAGCCGGGCAAGGGCACCACCATCGTGCCCATCCGCCCTGTCAGGGACCGCTTCACAGGTGTTCAGTGGTTCGTCACCCTCGTGACTGTCGCCACCATCGGCCTGTGGTGCGCCTCCCACCAGCTCGAGGCCGAGTTCGGACACATGGGTGTCATCGCCATCATCCCCATCGTCTTCTTTTTCGGCGTCGGCATCCTCACCAAGGAGGACTTCAACAACTTCCCCTGGACCATCATCATCCTGGCGGCTGGTGGATTGGCGCTCGGCAAGGCGGTCAACTCGTCGGGCCTGCTGCATACCGTCACCAGGATGATCACAGAGGGCGTCCAGGATTTCAGCCTCTACGGTGTCCTGCTCGTCTTCTCGAGCTTGATCTTGGTGATTGCCACGTTCATCAGCCACACCGTTGCGGCGCTGATCATCTTGCCGCTGGTGTACAATGTTGGAAAGGGCTTGGACGAGCCGCACCCGAACTTGTTGGTCATGGCGGGCGTTTTGATGTGTAGTGCTGCTATGGGGCTGCCTACTTCTGGATTCCCTAACATGAGTAAGCCTTCTTATCCTCCTATCATTCCTCTTCTCTCCTTGATCAATGCTAATCCATCATCTATCAACAGCCGCTATCATGAAGGAAGACCCAGCTGGCCAGCGTTACCTACAAGTCAAGCACTTTATCAGCCGCGGCGTGCCCAGCAGTTTGCTTACCCTTGTGGTCGTCGTCACGGTTGGGTATGGTGCTATGAGGGTTGTTGGTATGTGAGGAGAAGCCCGGGGTATCTGTCTATATATATATATATATAGATACACAGACAGACAGACAGACAGTCTCACACATATGTATGGAGTTGGGCTGGGTTGGGTTGAGTTGACAGGTGGCAAGGAAAGGAAAAGAACGGCGGGCGGGCGGGTTAGAGGAAGAACAGGAGAAGGTGTTAAAGGAAGAAGAGGAAGGAGTTTTAGAGAGAGTGGCGATCGAGCGTTTCGGTAGTGTGTTTCCGTGTCTTTTTTGGAGTACTGTTTCTTGTTTATCCATTGCATTACATTGCGTTTTCTGATCATTTTGCGTCGAGTATTAGTATGCTTTTAATGGAGACCGACCGCGGCGCGGGTCATCATTCGGAGGGGAATCTAATTGGGCTTCTCTTCTGTTCCTACGCGACTTTAAACATGGCTTCAAGTGGGCAGGATCTTTTTGCATGGGTAGCTAGCCTCCGATATAAATATGGCCAACATAGGTAATGGCAATCAATGTCAGACACAGTTCTCTCAAGCAAGGTCCAGTATTAGCTTTTGCTCATCCAGGGACAGTCGTGCCGCCCGCGATATCGATGATTTGCATGTATAGCATGTCACACACATACCTAGACAGAGCGTGATAAATTACGCCTCAGCTACCTACCTACCCACCACCCATTGCCCATCTTCAATGATCACGGACAGGTAAGAAAGAGATTCGTCTAGCTAGCTTCCATCTCTCCTCGTGTCTCCGACACAAATTTTTTTTTTCTACCTATGCTTCTTTTTCACCATCTTCTTCTTCTTCCTGGCCTTCTTTCCGGTTCATCTTGTCCTTCCTGTCCGTTGGTTTATGGCGTTTCCTGATTTTTTTGATTTTTTTCCCCGGGCGTCGATACATAGCCCCGTCTCGGACGGGAAATCTTTAAAGCGGGGGTACTTCGTCTTTGCATTCTTGTCTGTCTATGGACCTAGGTATCTAGGAAGGCGCGAGTTTGCTGGTCAGGCCTGCCCGGGCTGGGCTGTTGCCGTGCGTGTCCTTGGGGTTAGTTGGCGAGCGAGGAAGGAGCAACCGAACTTCTTTTGTCGAACTGAAGGAAGGTGTGTTGGGACACTGGACAGCCTCTGCGGCGAAATGTCGGCCCGGGATACTCACTCGTTACCTAAGCTGAGGCCAGAAGAAGACATAGACGTTCAGTTATTGGTTTGTTGTTGGTGAACAGGCTTCATTAAGTAGATAGAGGTATCCAAAGACTCGACTACCTTACCTGGCCCAAACACAGAATTTTCGAAGAACTAAACAGACTATTAAACCCCCCGCCATACTATAAATAACTATGCCTGGCTTCCGTGATTCCCGTCCGTCCGTGATGAGAAAAGATCCGTTGAATGACCCTGGGTATCAGTTTAACATAACATACATCGATGTGATAGAAAAATCCTATTAATGGCTTGCTTCTTTTTTTTTTTTCCTTTTTTTTTCGATTTCCCGGCCCTTTCCCTTTCCCGCGCAGCTTTCCCAACTTCCGACTTCCAAACCATTAAAACCCGAATACTTTCCCCTGATATCCCTCCCTGCCCCATGTCATCCATATCATCCATATCCATATCAGTCATGAAACACACACATTAACAGCTGAGGCCATCACACAAATCAATATCGATTCCAAAAAAGGTGAATGTGTGATGTGCCACCTCCTGCTTCTTTTCTCAGGGATGATGGCTCTCATCTCATCTGTGGTATAATTCTTCGCTCTCGCTCTCCTATCCAAAATCCGTATCCCCTCCCCCCCCCGGAATCTACTGGTTCAAGCAACAGGATTCCCATTCGCCTGCTATTGCCCACCATGCCCATGCCCATTATGCCCACCACCACCACCACCACCGCTGCTGTGTGACCCATGACCTAACGAAAACACCTTTTGCAAACTCCTCCTTATCCCACCCTTCCCTCCTCCCTTGGTCTCTCCATTATTCTCATCACTCTCTTGACTTCCCGACCTCTCGCGTTCCCTGTCTTCGGCCGTCGGCACCCTTGTCAAAAGATTGTTGACCGCCTCATTCACCAACGCCGCGATACTAGTCCTCCTGCCCCCCGCACCTGGGTGGTGCGCAGTAGTAGCATCACTCTTCCTCCTCTGCTGCTGCTGCTGCTTCTCTTGTGCCATCTTCTCCTGTGCCTGTGCCCTCTCCTGTCGTTCCTTCTCCTCCCTAGCCTTTTCTTTAGCTTCCCTAGCCTCCTTCGCAGCCCGTTCCCTCTCCTCCTTCTGTTGCCTCGCCACCTCCCTCGCCCGCTCCCTAAGCTCCCTCTCCTCCTTCGCCTGTTTCTCTCTGGCCTCCTTTTGTTGCTGCATCTGTTTCTGCGCCGCTGCTTTGCGCTGTCGCTGCGCGGCGATCTCCGCCGCACTCATGGGTTTGGGCACGGGCATGGGCGGGGCGACAATGTTCGTGTACTGAGACTTGGGCGGCCACTCGCCGTCGCGCTTCCACCCCACCACGCAGGCGCGGAGCATGTCGGCCAGGTTCACGGGGCAGGAGGGTTGCATATTGTTGATGATGATCTTGTCGTAGAGGGAGGGGTAGATGGAGGGCGTGACGGAGGCGCGCATGGGGTTTTGAGGAGGGAGGAGGGGAGGCGGGAGGGGGAGGAGGGTTTGGACTGGG